TTTCCAGTTTTTTCTGTATTTTTAACTCCTTCCTTAGGTCAACCTAATTCGGCTGACTCATGGTTTGTAGACATCCCTGAAGGATCAGGCCCACAAATCTCTGCTCTTGGGATTATTTTTTAAATGTTGCTTCTCTTAAAAAAAAACAAATCACTTTTTTAAAAGGAGCTATGTGGGGCACTAGGGAAAATGTTCAAAATCCCCTAATAGGCATAATTTTGCATTTCCAAGTAATCAACAGGATAGAGTTCCATGACCCTCAGATATTTGCCACAGTTTTAAAAAGCAAGATATTAAAACCTTTGGACAGATTAACAAAAGAATGAACTCAGTAGGGGTTTGGGATTATCTTTCCATTAAGATGAGGGGGGAAATGCATTATGGCCAAGGAATAACAGAATAACAGAGTTGGAAGGGACCTTGGAGGTCTTCTAGTCCAACCCCTTGCTCAGGTAGGAAACCCTATACCAGGGGTAGGCAACCTTGCCTCTTTTATGACTCGTGGATTTCAACTCCCAGAATTCCTGACCCAGCCATGCTGAGGGGAAAGAGAGTGTTTCCAAGCTGAACCACGCTGGCTCAGGAATTCTGGGAATTGAAGTACACGAGTCATAAAAGAGCCAAGGTTGCCTACCCCAGCCTTATACCATTCCAGACAGATGACTGTCCAATCTCTTCTTTAAAATCACCAGTGTTGGAGCACCTACAACTTTTGGAGGCAAATCATTTCACTGATTAATTGTTCTCAGTGTCAGGAAATTTCTCCTTGATTAGTTTCCATCCATTGCTTCTTGTCCTGTCTTCAGATTCTTTGGAGAATAGGCTGACTCCCTTTTCTTTGCGGCATCCACTTAGATATTGGAACACTGCTATCCTGTCACCCCAGTCCTTCTTTAATTAAAATAGATATACCCAATTAATAATAATAATGATAAAGTTGGAAGGGACCTTGGAGGTCATCTAGTCCAACCCCCTGCTCAGGACAAATGGCTGTCCAGTTTCTTCTTAAAAACTTCCAGTGTTGGAGCATTCACCGCTTCTGGAGGCAGGTTGTTCCACTGGTTAATTCCAGACCCCTAATCATCTTTGTTGCTCTTCTCTGGACTATTTCTAGAGTCTCAAAACCAAGAAACACCATTTCTAACTACTTAGCTTTCAAGAGTTAAACAGTAGAATTAAAAAAAAAATTAATACAGGGAGGGAGGATTTTAGAGAATTTTTCTGGGTCTTCCCACTCCTAGTCCAACTCCTTAACAACTATACACCACGGGTTCTCACTGGCTCCTATGTATCTTTCTGTATTAGCTAATTGCCTTAGTAAAGGACTGCCCTTGCATATTTATATTTGAGATTGGTGTCCTTGAAGCACAAGATCATTCATAGCCAAAATACTTTCAAAATCTGCCCTCACATTGTTTGGTTCCTCTCCTTTCCAAGAAAAAATAGCACCTGACTCCAGACAGAGCCTCTTATAAGCAGGACTCTGATAGATCCATCTTATAAGGCTTAATGGTGCTTGGTGTTTCTATGCTTATCACAATGATGCTATATTAATAATCAACATATCAAATTATTAATTGCTTTTGACACGAACAGGCTTCTTTTTTTGCTAACAGCTGGGCAGCTTTTTCTCACTGAGCCTCTCCAGATCTATTGAGCTATATTTTCCATATCTCCTAATAAGGTGCAGAAATTGGAAATCTCAAAACCTCTCAAGGACATCAGGTAAAAAAAAGTGGCCTTGGTGATTTGAAGTTTTAAAGGGTTCCTTAATCAAATATAGATGTGACAGTGACAGTTTTTCATATTCTTAGGGACTAATTAATGGTAAAATTACTTGGTTCACGTAGATTTCAATTCTGTATCACAAAAGGCCTATTTATTTGAAGGAATTTAGAGTTAATTTGGAGAAGATAGAGGAGAGCTATTAAAGAATTTGAACAGTCCAGAGACTGACGGAAACATGAGAAAGAAACTCAAAATAACCCCATGTTGATCTTGTTCTGTATAAACTGTAACACAGAGAAACTTGGACAGGTTTCGTAGAATCTATTACTATATCTTACATAGCTCTGCTAAATGTCCTGCAGTTCCCCAGTATTGATATACAAAAGGACAATTCCCAAAATATCTGCAGGATCAGTTTTGTGACCAGGCCTACCTTCTAGGGCTAACAATTTATAATTATTTTATAATTATTTTACTTGACCCCCCCTAAACTGTTTTTATGAGTGACTTTGAGCAAAACTGTAAAAAGTCAGCATGTAAATAAATTGCCAGGCAAACCTGCAAGAAAATAAAAATATCATTATGCATTTTATACCTTTTATACATTTTATACCTTTGAACTATGGTGCTGGAGAAGACTCCTGCGAGTCCCTTGGACTGCAAGGCGTTCACACCGGTCAGTCCTAGAAGAGATCAATCCTGACTGCTCTTTAGAAGGCCAGATCCTGAAGTTGAAACTCAAATACTTTGGCCACCTAATGAGAAGGAAAGACTCACTGGAAAAGGGCCTAATGCTGGGAAAGATTGAGGGCAATAGAAGAACGGGACGACAGAGAATGAGATGGCTAGATGGAGTCACTGAAGCAGTAGGTGAGAACTTAAATGGACTCCAGAAGATGGTAGAGGACAGGAAGACCTGGAGGAACATTGTCCATGGGGTCGCGATGGGTCGAACACGACTTTGCAATTAACAACAACAATACCTTTTATACCTGGAAAGATATACTGAACAGTCATATCAAGAAGGATTTAACAGCACAAGGTAAATTGAGAGGAAACTGTGATCTTGCCATTCCCATTTTCATGACTATACTGGCTGACTGGAAGTTGAGTCCAATAACATTTAGAGCAGTGTTTCCCAGTCTTAAGATGTATGGGGAATTCTGGGAATTGAAATCCATACATCTTAAAAGTTGTTAATCCAGAGAATCACTGTTTCCCCATCACTGGCATGCGATCATTTCATATCATCACTGGCATACAGGTTGAGAATCCCTGGAGGTAATGCCAAGCAAGAAGATGTGACATTCCCAGGACAAAAAGGCATGTTAAAGTCTTGATTTACACTTATTTTAAAAGACTAGTTTGATCTGTTAACCCTTACAATGGAGTTCTTTGTTCAGACCTTCTTTAAGACATGGTCCTAAATCCTGCTGCCTTTCAATCCTCTTGCCTTTCAATACTAGGGATCTGTAGAAGATTTAGCAGAAGTAGGACCACAAATAACTTCATGAGTTATACAATATGAAGCCTCTGCTGCCATCTCATGGTATGCTCTTCCCATAGTTGTTCAAAGGACAATTCTTCATCCACGATATTAAACTACAAATTCCAATGCCACCTAAGGAATAAAAGAATTGTGATCCTATCTGGGAGATGCCAAGCAGAGAGAAAGCTTTGAGAGGCAGTAGAGTGCATTGGTTAGGGACTTGAATCTTGACAAGAGAGAGACCCATGTTCAGCTTCCTACTTCACCATAAAAATTGCAGGATGACTTTGGGCCAATCATTCTCTTGTCAGCCCAACCTATCTTGCAGGATTGTGGTGGTGGATATAAGCAGGATACAAATATAATAAATGAATATACAATTATAAAATTAGAAGGGACTTCGGGCTATCCAATTCAACTCCCAGATCTGTGCAGGTTTGTCAACTGAAGCGCCACTGGCTATCTAGCTTCTTTTTGATCCAGTGAATATTTATTGTTAAACCGATCTTAGTATTATGATGTTTTCTCAAGTGTTATAAAAATAAATAACAACAGTTAATCTTAAATCTTAGCGTTAGATCAGTGAAAGCTTGGTATGTTTGGCCAATAAAAGAGACAACTGGGGAGATCTGGAAATAGTCTTCAAAAATCTGAAGTGTAGTAACATAAAAGAGGGCGTGGACATTGGCCCAGAGAAGAGGACTAGAACCAATGGATGAAAATTTAAGAGGAATTTCCAGAATTTGGAACAAGATGTTGAACATATGGGCTGAATCACAAGACATATTTTTATCCTAACATGGCCTTTTTCAGGTCAAGTATAATTCTGCCTATCTGTTCTAAACTTCAAGAGGAAGTCTACTAAAGTCCTATTTCTGTGTGATCTAAGAGGGATGTGGGTTTAATGATGGGTATTTTGCTAGCAGCCCCAAAACATGTTTCCCATTACCAAAACCCAGGGCTGCAACTTTCTTTTATTTCAGTGAGCCTGTGGGCTGTATCCATCAGAATGTAGTATGTTCTTTTTCTCTTTTTAGTACATGCCCTATCATCTTTTGGATTAAGGTGCTTTACAAATATTGTAAAATAAATTAGAATAAATAAACCTAAGGGCTCCCCAGCTACGGTATGCTTCCTACCCACAAAGGCAAGCAATTGCACTCAGTGTTCAATTACAGCCATCTCCTGGAACAACACAAATATTTTTGCTTCTGATATAGTCAGAAAAGGAGAAGATCAATGGTCTTAGTTTCCCCCACTTTCCAAGCTTTCTGAACTTTCATTGGGCTACATGCACCCCAAAACTGAGCTATTGATATAAGAAGACGCCACCTGGCTCTCAAAGATGGCATTTGCCCTTCATCTAAATGCCACTGAACACTCTGGAGATGGCATCGCACAATTTGTAATTCACTACTTTCCCCCAACAGTTGCAACTGCATCCATAAAAAGCAGTTTAGCACCTGGAAAGGGTGTATTGATCCTCTGAGCCCAGATGCTGGAAATAAATTGAAAGAACAAGGATCTTATGAAGGTCTTAGAATTCAGGCTGCAAAAGAGAACAGCCCATCCTCAAGACTCCTTTTGGAAATCAGATTTTTTTTTTCCATTATGCTGTATGGTAGCCAAGCTCAAGATGACAGAAAATCAGCTGAAACACCTAAAAGGATACCCATATTGGGTCACACCACAGAAGAACAGGCTGAAACCTGTGTGGCAGGATCCCAAGACACCTTGCAAGCTTTAAAAAACAAGCAAGAATAGATCCCAAAATTGAACTCACTGTGATTTTCCACAAGGTCAAGGGCCACATTTGTGGTTACATCCATGCCAGTGTTTATGTAGGTCTTGCAGGTTTTCAGAGAAGTCAGACATGTGTCCACACCACTAAGGGAAATCAGTGGACGCCCAGACATCCTGATCAAGCTTCCTAAAACAAAACAAAAAAAAATAGTTAATGCTACAATGTTGTATTATACTATGACATACAGCTAACCCGTTGGGTTTTTTTTTAATGTGGTTTAAACAGAAAGCAGGCTCAAAAACAGTATCAGCCAATAAATAAAATAATACAATTTTCCAAGTCTTAAAGGAATGAACTGGCTTATCCATTTCATCCTAATTTTGAAGGAACAAGAACCTGCAATCAATGTCCATCTTTAGGACAAACCTTTTCTTAGATCAACTCAAAAATCACAAAAACAAGCAAGCATTCAATGTCCTCCTACCAAATGAAAGTTTGCATGTTCATCTGGCAGATGGAGGGGAAGCATATACATGTGACATTAATTTGTTTGTTTATTGAATTTATATGGCTGCCCATCTCACTGAAAGTGACTCTGTGTTGTGTACAATAATCAAATAAAACAGTGAAATATAAAAGCCATTGAATAAATAGGTAAAAAGTCAGGGTTATAAAATTAAATATTTGAATATTTATATTTATTTAAATAATATTTAAATAGAATTAAATATTGTTAAAATTATGTCCAAACTCCAGGCATGGAGAAAGTGAGTATACATCCACCTCAATAATGGAACCATCTCTCCAGTTCTGCAGGAGGCCCAGGCCTGGTGACATAACACCATTTGTTATATCACACATCTGATGACATCTCTCCATCTGAGGTTGGATCCTGCACAATATATATACTTTATTGAACACGCAGTCACTTAATCCCAGAAAAATATGGCATATTCCATTTAATCCTCCAGGGAAAGATTGAAGGAAATGAGGTCCAGGCAAAAGAAGAATATCATGGCTTCAAAATCTAAGGAACTGGTTTGGACAAAACTCAGCAGCACTTTTTTGTGCGGCTGCTGATAAAAACAGGATTGCCAACATGATTGCCAACATCCGATAATGGATATGGCACAAGAAGAAGAAGTCACTTAATATATTAGCTAGGTATAGCAGGCATATAGAGCAAATCACACTGACTTTATGTCAATTACCCATTGACATATTCTCTCTACACCTTTCAAACGTCTGCTATTATTTCATTTTGATCTGGAGATTTGTTTCATTTTACTGTAAGTGGATGGTGTTGGTGTAATGGCTTTTAATAAATATGGGGTGTTTTTCTCCTCCTAAACCACAGATGCTATGAAAACCTTTCCATTGACTAGCAGAATAATAAAATATACATAAGGAAATAAATAAAAATAATGAATACAATATTTTGCAAAGAATGGAAGATGGGAATTTAAACCCACTAAATGATATTTGATGAGCAGTTTTCAAAACAGGGAAAAATAAACTGAATTTTAAACTAGATTTTCTCTCAAAGAATATATGTACACGCTTTTGCTTTAAACAGGGTAAAGAGAGAGAAAATTAATTCTCGGCTATACACAGAGAACAACTTTGTATATTAATCCAAATATCACAAACAACAAAACAAAATATATACAGGGTGTTTTAAAAATTGTAGTGTTCTTTTAAGCTTTTAAAGCTTAAAGACTTTTAGTTCTCTTTGTATAATAGCTGAAGAATCCTTCAATTCAGACTCAACCACTACAACCAAAGGGACGCCTTCGCATAATTTTGTTTGCAATAATATGGAAACAGTTTCTTTCTTTTTCCGGCAAGTTTTTAACTTTCCGGTTTTCTTTCTGTCCCAGGACTTCTTGATGTTTTCCCAATCAAAACCTGGATTAAAAACAAGTCAGAAATAAACCCATCCTGCTATTTCATTGCATTTCATGTACTATGTGTTTTAGAATATTATAAACAAACCAAGTCACAAAAAGTGTCTGGCCAAGTACCTATTAGGCAGAAATGGCTCATTTTGCCTCAGACCTTCAAATTTAAATTCCACCAAGGAGGATCTGCAAGCTCTAGTGCTGAAGTTAAGGAGCAAAGAGAGAAAATGGGCCAAAATTAAATACAAAGAAGACCGAACTTTAGAAACAGCCTTAGGCAGGCACCATAGTGGAGAAGGCCCACCTCCTCAGGCCCGCCAAGTGTAATTCCCTGAGAGAGATGGTCCTCATCTTTCTTGTCAGATCTGAGAGGATGAGCAGATCAAACTGGGGCAAGGTGGTCCCTCAAACAACCTAGCATAAAGGGTCTTAAGGGTCAAAATTAACATCCTGAATTAGACCCAGAAGCAAACTGACAATCAATGCAGTTTTGGGGAGCAGAGGTATTAACTCATCATGTTTTGGAAGCACACATAATTGCTCACACCAGCTGAAGTTCCGGATACTCTTCAAGGGTAGCCCCATGTAGATCGCACTGTGGTAACCCAATCAGGGGGCAGGGGGGGGACTAAGGCATGAGTATCAGGTGTTATTGGCACACAACGCAAAGCTGTGTAAAGCTCTCCTAGCACAACTAAATTTTTCCAATTTTAGAGAAAACAACACCTAAAAATAGACACCTGACTTTGTTAGATGCATTTATTGAGGTAAATAACTTCTGAAAACTTTGTGCCAAATTAGCAGTCAAAACCTTAGCATCTCCACTTAACAAGGATAAGAAGAGTCACTTCGAAACAAGATGGGCGGCAAATACATTTAATAATAATAACATCCAACCCTAACTTGGACAATTCTAGATTTAGGATTTTATAGGATGAGAAGTGAAACGTCTTCAAAGAAAAACAAGGAAGTCCAGTTGCCTCTTTAAAAAGCTCCTTTGGGACAACCATGAGCTGGATGACTGAGAATCTCCATAGATATATAGGAGTACAAGTGCCATTTTTACTGTCACTATAAGCATATCATTATGTTATTGCTCCCATGTAATTTTAACTGCAGCTAATTTTTTATTTGTTCATTCTGACTGTAGTTACCTCATTGGTTAGTTTATGGAAAATACTGACATACCAAATACTACGCTGTGTTTGTGAAGGGTCAGGGCTTAATTTCTACAGCAACAATGAGTCAAACAGATGTTACTGCAATTTAGCAGGACCTCTGTATCTAAGCAATGATTCCCTAATCCCTGGTCCAACCACTGCTTATTGAATAAATTTCACAAGATGGCAGCAGTCAATTAATCTTGCATACACATACCTAAGTAAGACATGACGTGATTGTGTCAGCCTTATCAGATAGACCAGACAGGAACATGGCTAGATAAGCTAATTCAGTTATTGTAAGGCTACATTAAGAGAATCTTGCAAGTCTGGAAAATACAAATCTCCCGCCATCTACTTCATATTCTGAAATACTATAAAGGGTTTCCTCTTGCTGCACCCACTATATAAATGTGGGCTATGAGCTCTCTTATCTGACCATTCCTTAGACAACATCAGTCCCCTAAGGTCATTTTCACGTACCTACCAATTAATATTTGGAAGGGAGACCACTAAGAAATTCCCCTAAGCTAGACTCCAGAACTCTCTCAGAAGATGGCAAGCACCATCTTCAGAGGTTGCCACAAAGAAGAAGAAGTCAAGTTATTCTCCAAAGCGCCTGAAGGCAGGACAAGAAGCAATGCATGGAAACTAATCAAAGAGAGAAGCAACCTAGAACTAAAGAGAAACTTCCTGACAGTTAGAACAATTAATCAGTGGAACAACCTGCCTCTAGAACTCATGAATGCTCCAACACTGAAAGTTTTTAAGAAGAGACTGGACAGCCATTTGTCTGAAATGGTATAGGGTTTCCTGTCTGAGCAGGAGGTTAGACTAGAAGACTTCCAAGGTCCCTTCCAACTCTATTATTATTATTATTATTATTATTATTATTATGGATCATTGCACAGTCAGGCAGATGTTCAGACTGGATTTGGCATTTTGTCTACCTATTGAGTCCTTACCCAGGACCTGGGATAGGAAGATGTGGATGTTTGATGGTATTACAGATATCGTCGCAGGATGGAAGCAGTTCCTAGTAAGGCCGCCTTTTGCAATTGACTAATAGCAAATTTGTCAATGCCAATGGGGTTCAAGTGGTGCTCCAGTTGTTTTGGGATTGCACCCAAGGAGCCTATGACTACTGGTACTACCCTTGCTTGCTTTTGCCACAGTCTTTCTATTTCTATTTGTAGGTCTTTGTATTTTGTTATCTTCTCCAGTTCTTTCTCTTCTATTCTGCTATCTCCAGGCACTGCCACGTCCACTATCCAGACTTTGTTGTCTTTCTTATCGACAATTGTTAAGTCTGGGGTGTTATGTTGCAGGTGCTTGTCTGTTTGAATTCTGAAGTCCCAGAGCAGTTTACTTTTATCATTTTCTATGACTTTCTCTATTTTATGATCCCACCAGTTTTTGCTTACAGGCAAATGATATTTTTTGCAGATCTTCCAATGCACCATTGGTGCTACTTTGTCATGCCGCTGCTTGTAATCAGTTTGTGCAATCTTCTTGCAACAGCTTACCAAGTGGTCCACTGTTTCGTCAGCTTCTTTGCATAGGTGGCACTTACTGTCTGTTGCTGTCTTCTCAATTTTGACTTTGTATGCATTTGTCCTTAAGGCTTGGTCTTGTGCAGCCAGAATTAGTCCCTCAGTCTCTTTCTTCAATTTTCCTGCTCTTAGCCATTACCAGGTCATTATTATCTGCTTTCCTAGCTATTTTTTTCACATATTGGCCATGTAGTGCTTTGTCTTCCCATGCCTCTATTCTGATCTTCATTTGGTCTTTCTTGTAGGCCAGTTTGGTCTCTCCAGTAGTCAGTAAGCCTTCCTGATATACTAATTTCAGTGAATCTTCATCATTGTTCTTCAGATATTCTTCCAAAGCCATTTTTTCTTCTTCAACCATCTGATGTACTTGTAGCATTCCACACCCACCTATTTGCCTTGGTAGATAAAGTCTATCAATGTCACTGCGTGGATGAAGGGCATGATTCATTGTCATTATTTTTCTGGTATGCCTATCCATTGCTTTTAGTTCTGCTTGAGTCCAGTCCACTATTCCAGCTGTGTACCTAATGACTGGGATTGCCCAGGTGTTGATTGCCTTTATGGTATTTCCTCCATTGAGTTTGGATTTTAAGATCTTCTTCACTCTCTTGATGTATTCACCTCTAATCTTTTTCTTGACTTCAGTGTACTTGATGTTGTCAGCTTGAAGGATACCCAAGTATTTGTAGTATTTATTATTATTACTATTATTATTATATTACCAGCCACTTCACACTGTTCTTGAGAAGCTACATTAGAAGGTACGCAAGATCGCTTGAAACTGAAATATTTTCTTTCCCACCTGTTGAATGAAGCACAATAATGTACCTGGGATTGACATCATGCTAAATCAGAGATTTGATTGGCAATCATGCCAAACCAAAACCAAATATGTTTTAGCACCAGAAGTTAACCTAGCCATGGATCCACTGTTATAACAGACTCCAGCACCTGAGATGGTGGTTTCTCATATATGCCCATTTCATTCGCCTTTAACCCAGAATGCTGGCTTGATCCAATACAGCTCTTGAATGATTATGAATTATTCTTACTGGAAAATAGTGTGCTTATGTTTTCTTTGCTTGGCAAACAACAAAACATTTTTAATGCACTTGACTGTGTGGCTAAAGAAAAAAAACACTTGCTGAAAAAATAAAAAATGATTTAGAAACCTGAAGTGTGCTAAACTCAACCAAAGTGCCATTGAACACATCAGGGAAAAGTAAGATATAAATCACCTGTTGAAAAGTAAGATATAAATCAATGTTTTTCAAGCTAGGCAACTTTCAGTTGTGTGGACATCAACTCCCAGAATTCCCCAGCAGCATCCTTTTTCCTTTCAGAAAGGAAACCTCTCCCCGCTTTCTTTCCACAGAAAACTTGGCTCCGTTCGCACAATACGCCCAAGGAGTCATGACTACATCCACACAGCCAGTGAAGCTCCCAAAGCTTGCCCGGAAGCCGAGTCCTGGGCAAAGTCAGCCCATTTGCTAGTGGGGATCAAAGCATCGTGTGAATGCAAGAAACGGGTTCATCCAGGAAGCGGGTCAAGCACGGGGCCTCGCTGCAATTATTTCACCAGTATTTACTTGAAGCAGCCCTTTCCCCCTTACCTGGGACTTGTTTCCTTGGGGGAGAAAAACTCTTATTTTCTCTTTTCCTCTTATTTTGAATCTTCGCTCAGATGCTTGCAAGAGAAGGCGGGACGAGTGGGAAGGGCGGCGAGACTTCTCATACGCCGGCGTCTGTTCACATGACCGCGCAAACCCTCATGTGACACAAGATGAAGGGAAGCTCGCCCGGCCCTGCCTTGTCTTGATGGCCATCTGGAGCCTAGCCTCGGTTTCCGGCCAGGTTTTTCTCTTTGCTGGCTGTTTTTCGGCTTGCACTCAACTTTGCACTTATTCTGACGACCTGCGTGCACCCTGGGAGTCCTGACCTGACCCGCGGGTCTCCCTCCGGTCTGAAAAGGGGAGCGAAAGAGAAAGAAGGCTCCATCCATCTCTTCTCTTCCTCTCAGCAGGAGGACGGCCGACGAGGAGAAAGTAAGTCCGGTACGGAAAATACTCTCGTGCAATTGTTAATTCATGATCAAATATTGAGTAGCATTATTGATAACGCAATAATACCGAAGCGCAGTTCAATGCCTTTTGAATAATGTATTTATTTATTAAATTTATATGGCTGCCCATCTCACACATGGGCATTTGGGCAGCGCACAGGGTTTAGCTAACCAAAATCAAGTAATTGATACAGTTAAAAAGCCGAATCACTAATCAATCACTTTTTATTACAATCACAAGCCAGAATCAAAAAGTAAAACATTAAAATAAAATGCAACAGAACAGAACAAGACATATTACAGTTTAGTGGGGAGGTCGTCAATGGACTGTCAAAGTCTGCATAATTTTACAGACAATGTAGAAGAATTTAGCTACATTCAAAGCATTAAAATTCAATTAAAAGCAACTAAAAAGCTATAACAAGAATGTGAGTGCTTATAATTCTGTTTGGCCTTTAATAAAGAGCCTAATCAATAATATTCATTATTAATTAAATGTGGAAGGCCCAGTGATAGATTCCCACCTCTCAGTTGTCATTGTTTTGTCAGTCTGGCCTACCTTGCAAGTGTGCTGTGATCTCCAACTTTATAAATGTTTTGATTCATTTTAAAAATGTTTATAGTGAAAATGGGAATTTGTTTTCCTCTCCAGTTGAAAACAATTGCAATTCACCCTGACATCCAATTGTTTTTTAATCAGAATGGTTTCAAATTCAAAATTATGTGGATACTCTTCGTTCTTAAAAAAAAATTGACATGTCACCAGAATGTTTCTAGCTTCCTGCTCTGATTCATTTCCATAAAAGCTTGATGTTTTTGTGAAAGTTAGTCACGAGAGAAGTAATGGATATTAAAAAATAATAAAATATGTAGCACTTGGTTTCTCCAAGATATATTAGCCTGGCACATGAAGGTTCTATTTGGCTTCATCAATAATCTCATTTTAATAATTCTATTCATTATTAATGATTGTATTAAGCAGACATTTTGCCCAATTGGGTCATACCATCACCCAACACAGGAATGGAGCCATTTTTATAGCCAGAAAAAACATCCCAGAGGAACTGAATCTGGATAAATCTTTAAATTCTCGTCACAGATTGCTGTAATCTGAGGTCTGCATTTACTTCTAAATAATACTCTTAAATTATCTTCTGCGGTAAAAGTGTTGTTGCAAAATTCAACCTTCAGTTTAAAAAATAAAATAGTAGCATGAAAAGCAACAATACTAAAATGTGCTTTCTGTGGTTTATGATTTTTTTCAGGAATGTTAATGGAAGAATTGCGAAGGATTTTTCTTCGGATAATTTTGACAACTATATAGATCTGCACTGAAAAACTACCGTAGCTTTCTTCCTCTTCGCCATGTTGGACTTCTTAGCAGAAAATAATCTTTGTGGACAAGCCATTCTTCGGATTGTGTCTTGTGGCAATGCTATCATTGCTGAATTGCTGAGACTGTCGGAGTTTGTCCCGTCTGTATTCCGCCTCAAAGACAAAGCCGATCAACAAAAATATGGAGATATCATATTTGATTTCAGCTACTTCAAAGTAAGAATTGTGCTGTACTGAATCATTCTTTAAAGTTAATTTCAGTTCTGCCAGATACTAATGAATGAAGTATTGATGTTTAATGTTCTGTCCAAAACATACTAATCCTGTTCCTGATTTTTTTTCCCCCCTATTTTAGGGGACCGAATTATGTGAAGGGAAGCTAGAAGCCAAGCCTGAACTGCAAGATTTAGATGATGAATTTCGTGAAAACAACATAGAAATCTTGACCAGATTTTATTTGGCTTTCCAAAGTGTTCATAAATATATTGTTGATTTAAACAGGTAAGCAATTATTCATGCAACTGAAATAGCATAACTGGTTTGGAACAGAATGTGTTACAGCCAAGGAAATAGCTTGTGATGATGTGAAATATCCTTAAGTCATTCTTGCTTAGATTTCAGATCTTTTCAGAGGGGAACAGAAACACAGCAGAATTACACACACACACATACACACACACACACATACACACCTCAGAATCTTTTAAATATGAATTCACTCATATTCACTTTATTTGTTTGGAGAAAAATGTTTAACATAGAACATTTTAAAATTTAGGAAAGAAGATGGCATGATCTCAGATTATTTTTCCAGTATTACCAGCCATGATATATTTGTCAGATATGAAACATGAATTAAGTAAATAATTAGATTAGGAAAAAAATATGGGAATGTACGCGGAAGCCATTTCAAAATTTTCCTCAATGTTCCTATTATATGTACTTCAGGTTGACCTAATAAGATACTGATGTAAAAATGTGACATTAAATTTTGACATGTTAGTCTTTTTAACTTGTATTATACTTTAGCACAAGTAATCCTCAATTTAATGGAGCCTGGAATTTCTGTTGTAAGTCATGATGGTCATATGTTGAGGTACCCACATGACTGAAACCGATTTTTTTAGAGCTTTATGGCTTTTTTTAGAGCAGTCATTAAGCAAACGCCTCAGTCGTTAAGCAATCAGCGTATTCCCATGGGTGTTTTTTATTTAAAGTCAGTCAAAAAGATCAGAAACTAGCAAAAAACAAATTGTTATGTTACTGTGGAATGGTGCAATCAACCATAAAGCTAATTGGTTGCCAATGCAATCATGTGACCATGGGGATGTGTACAGCCATCAGAACATCAGAACTGGAGCTTAAGTAGGTTTTGTGGATGGTCTGTTGTAACTTCAAATGGTCACTAAGCAACTGGTCATTAAGCAAGAACTACCAAAGAGAAAGACACTATATATCAAGGAATGATTTAAATACTGTGTGATTAAGAGAAACATCTCCCAAGACGGTTTGATAGGGATCAATAATTCTTAACATGCCACATAACTAAAAGGTAATAAAATCCACTGAGATCCTTTGAATATAAAGCCATAAATGATATCCAGATAATGAATTGTATAGCTACCAACACTTCCTTCTCTTCATCAGTTTTTTATTCTTTTATACTCAAAGGAACTTTGGAAAGAAATTATGGCAAAAGGTTTGGAAGTCCGATTAAATTAAAACAGAGAACAAAATTTGTATATAAACAGGAGGTTTTGCAAAAGATTAGTTTATATTTTTATTGTTTCTAGATACTTGGATGATCTCAATGAAGGGATTTACATTCAGCAAACTTTGGAAACAGTGCTGCTGAATGAGGATGGAAAACAACTATTGGTATATTTAATCAAACCATACAGCATTGTTTATTTATTGTATGTAATTTTTTTATTTTTTTTAATCTCCTGATTTCTGACCTAATGTCTTCATCAAACTGCTTTCACCTAAAATTAGAGAATTGTAATTAAATCCACATCACAATAATACTGTGATGGAGAAGACTGTAATAAATGACCTTGATGTAACAGGAAATTACACTTAATATCATTGTAATTTTAACTATGAATCTCTCTGTGTCTGTCTTGTTGGCTGCAGTGTGAAGCCCTTTATTTGTATGGTGTCATGCTCCTTGTCATTGATCAGAAAATTGAAGGCGAAGTTCGAGAGAGAATGCTTGTTTCCTATTATCGATACAGGTATTACATCTCTGATTTAGGATATGCTCAATTGGCTATTTTGTGGTTGATTATTTCATGCAAACTCAGGCACTACTTTGATTGCATCAATATACTTGTTTTAAGAATAGTTTGCAATGCCTTTAAAGGAAAGTCTCTCTCCAATTCATTGTTTCTCAACTTTGTAAAATTAAAATGTGTGAACTTCAACTCCCAGAATTCCCCAGTTAGTATGGCTGGCAGGTGAATTCTGGAGTAGAAATTAACTCATCTTAAAGTTCCAGAGGTGGAGAAACACTTTTTCATTGATGCCGAGCTACATTGCAACATTGAGCCAGTCTTTCTGGCCTTGGAAGATAAATAGAATCTGGCCTGGCTAGTGTTTCCATGACAGACATTCAGAAAATACCAGGGCTCAAAGCCTGAGAATTTGAAAAAAAAAATATCCCGGAAAGAGGGAGAAAAACTGTTTTCATATTGCTACCAAAAAAAATTAGTACCTATGAAATCAAAGGAAATGCAAATTTACCCTTTTATTGTAAGTTGTAGAACTTACAATTGTAGAACCTCAACTTACAATTGTAGAACCCCACAATTTTGGTTTTAAGTTGTGACAGTTAGAAAATGGGTCACCGTCCGACCAAATCTGATTTTTATTATCTTTTTTGTGGAAGATAATAAAAATGATAATAAAAAGATAATAAAAATGCCATAGTCATTAATGGACAATGGAAGTAAAAGCTAGTTTCTTGCAAAAATGTTTTAATATTTACAGCAAATGGCTGTAAATGTAAGCTGGTTGCCAAGCACTTAAAATGCAATCATGTGACTGCAGGGTGGGAATGGATGTAAGAGCGCTAAATCCGGATCATAAGTAGCTTTTCCAGGGTCTATCATAATTTTGAACAGTCACTAAACGATTGGTCATAAGTTGAGAACTACTTGTACTTTGATAAGATCCTCTGTTGGTGACATTTGCTTGTCATGCTCCATCCAGTGCTGCTCGCTCTGCTGACTCCAATATGGATGATATATGTAAGCTGCTTCGGAGCACGGGGTATTCAAGTCAGCCCGGAGCGAAAAGGCCCGCAAACTATCCTGAGAGTTATTTCAGCAGGGTGCCCATCAACAAAATATTCATCAGCATGGTGATTGGCCGCTTGAGGTCAGATGATATCTATAACCAGGTAGGTTAGCCCAACATGGACTAGGCTGTGGGATTGGGGGAAAAGTAGGAAAATGGCCAGCAGACTCATAAGATGCCCTTTCACTCTGTTCCCTTCTCAGGTTTCTGCATATCCACTGCCAGAGCATCGCAGCACAGCTCTGGCGACGCAGGCAGCCATGTTGTATGTGACGCTTTACTTCGATCCCTCCATCCTTCACACCCAACAAGCAAAGATGAGAGAAATAGTAGATAAATATTTTCCAGACAACTGGGTAAATATATTGTTAGTGCTGCTATTAATGAATGATTTGCCTCAGCATCTCACATCCTGGACATAAACTGTTTCAACTCCTCCTCTCGGAAGCTGCTGTAGGGCATCGCATGCCAAAACAAGTAGATACAGATTTTTCCTTCTTGCCATCACTTTGCTGAACACCTAATCCTCACAGTACTGTCTAATGTGAATTTATTATGACTATATTATTATCTATCTTATCACACAAAGGGAAAAAACAGTACCGTAAAAAACAGATTAGAAACACAAGTTAAGATAGGCAAGAAAATGGAAAGTGAGCACCTGTCCACCTTAGATGAGTTCAAATCACCAGGACCAGATGGATTACACCCCAAGATTCTGAAGGAACTGGCAGATGTGGTCTCAGAACCACTGAACTCTATCTTTCAAAGATCGTGGAACACAGGGGAACTACCAGAGGACTGGAAAAGAGCTGTTGTAGTTCCCATCTTCAAAAAAAGGGGGGGGGAAATGGATCCAGGAAACTACAGACTTCTCAGCCTGACCTCAATACCTGGGAAGATTCTGGAAAAGATAATAAAGCAATGAATCAGCAAACACCTAGAGGCAAACAAAGTCATTACCAAAAGCCAACATGGGTTTGTCAAAAACAGATCATGCCAGACAAATCTTGTTGCATTCCTTGATCAGGTGACAAAATTAGCGGACCAGAGGAATGCTGTGGATATAATTTACTTGGACTTCAGTAAGGCATTTGATAAAGTAGATCACAACCTACTACTTGATAAGATAGAAAAATGTGGGTTAGACAGCATCACCACCAGATCGATTCGTAGTGGCTGACACGCCATACTCAGCTTCTGGTCCTCAATGGAACTGCATCTACATGGAGGGAAGTGTTTAGTGGGGTGCCCCAGGGCTCTGTTCTGGGCCCAGTGCTCTTCAACATCTTAATCAGTGATTTGGATGAGGGAATAGATGGGGAACTCATCAAATTTGCAGGAATAGCCAACAGTCCAGAAGATAAGCTTAAGATACAGAAGGATCTTGACAGACTTGAACATTGTGCGCTATCTAACAAAATGAAATTCAATGGTGAAAAAAGTAAGGTTCTACATTTAGGCAAGAAAAACCAAATGCACAGGTGTAGTGTAGGTGGTACCTTGCTCAATAGTAGCAACTGTGAGAGGAATCTTGGAGTCCTAGTGGACAATTGCTTAAATATGAGCCAGCAGTGTGCTGCAGCTGCCAAAAAAAGCCAACAGTGCTAGGCTGCATTAACAGGGATCGAATCAAGATCACGTGAAGTGTTAATACCGCTTTACAATGCCTTGGTAAGGCCACACTTGGAATACTGCATCCAGTTTTGGTCACCACAATGTAAAAAAGATGTTGAGACTCTAGAAAGAGTACAGAGAAGAGCAACAAAGATGATCAGGGGACTGGAGGCTAACATATAAGGAACGGTTGCTGGAATTGGGTATGTCTATTTTAATGAAGACAAGGATGAGGGGTGACATGATAGCAGTGTTCCAATATCTGAGGGGCTGCCACAAAGAAGAGGGAGTCAAGCTGTTCTCCAAAGCGTCTGAAGGCAGGACAAGAAGTAACGGGTGGAAACTAATGAAGGAGAGAAGCAACCTAGAACTAAGGAGAAACTTCCTGACAGAACAATTAACCAGTGGAACAACCTGCCTCCAGAAGCGGTGAATGCTCCAACGCTGGAAGTTTTTAAGAAGAGACTGGACAGCCATTTGTCTGAAATGGTATAGGGTTTCCTGCCTGAGCAGGAAGTTGGACTAGATGACCTCCAAGATCCCTTCCAACTTTATTATTAATAGTAGTATTAATATTATTAGTATCATCATCATCTTTACTACCCGTTATTGGTATGATGATGATGATGATTCTGTTGCTTTGCATGAACTCTGAGAGCTGCATCAGAGACAAATGTGTGTGTCTAATCACACTTGACCAGATAAAGCTATTCTGTTCTGCTCTGTTCGTTCCACTCCATTCCACTCCACTCTTCTATTGCAGTCTCCAGGGGTGCTCAAATTATGATATGAACTAGATAAAGTCATCCCGCAAATGCTGCCATTGCATCACTGAGTCTTGCTGTCTGATCTAAGGATATGTCAATGCTGTTTGCATGATAATGTTTGTGTGGTAATGTTTCCTCATTTGCCAACCCACTCCCAAGGCTGCCCGTAGGTTTTTGCTTCATCTTCATTTCAGACCCCTGATGTGAATACAAGAGAGCCAAGCAAAGCCGGTGAGGTTAATTCCATTCTCCCCTTTAGCCATTCAGAATCCAGGTCTAGAAATCAGAGGTTACTGGACTTTTTACACTTAATTAATTCTGGGATTGTAGCTTTGAACCAGTTAGGTTTTCCCACTATAGTTAGACCGAGCAACATTGTTCTTTACTAGTCTTAAAATGTTGTCTGCCAAAGAGCACTAAGCTGTCTCCACCACTATGGCTAACTGACCACATAACCACAGATAACCGTCTTCGCAACCATGGCCAGCCATCTACATAACCATGGCTACATACCTCCACAGCCATGGCCAACTGTCTCCACAATCATGGCTACCTGTATCCATAACCATAACTAACCCTGCAACGGGTCCAGCACTGATTGTCCACTAGTTTTAAAATGATGCCACTAAACTGCCTCTACAACTATGGCTAACTACATCCACTACCATAGGTAATCGCATCCACAACCACAGCTAGTCACACCTACAACCATGGCTAATCACATGCATAACCATAATTAACCATCTCTTAAGGCCATGTATAGCCATAACCATAGCTAACACTGCAACCATGGTTAGCTATCTCCATAGCAAACGAGGCATAAGTCTGTTTTGTGACATGCTGATGGCCTCCGTTCTCCATTAATATCTGGACAACTGGAGTTTTCACGGATTTTATTTATTGTTATTCTGTTCACAGGTTATTAGCATTTACATGGGAATATCAGTCAATCTGGGAGAAGCCTGGGAGCCATACAAGGCTGCCAAAACAGCGCTGAACTACACACTGGATCTTTCCAATGTTAAGGAGCAGGTAAGGAAATGTGAGCTTAGCAGGATAAGTGAAGTTAGGTTAGAATCTGATTTAAGTGTTTTCATTAAACTTACCGACTTGTGATCTTCTCACCAAATGTAGAGCTTTTTAAGGTCTACATTAAGACCTTAAGGTCTTATTCTCTTGTTACCCTTGGCAACCTGAATTTGCACATATAAGTGAGGAAAGAAAGGTGCACACTCTGATGCTGAGCTTTGTCAGGAAGGAGAGCATAGCAACTTTAAATGGGGTTTTTTCCCATGACTGTAGAACTACATCAAAAAGACTTTAAAATGGGATGGGAGGGAGGGAGGGAGGGAGGGAGGGAAGGAAGGAAGGAAGGAAGGAAGGAAGGAAGGAAAGGAAGGAAGGAAGGAAGGAAAGAAGGAAGGAAGGAAGGAAGGAAGGAAGGAAGGAAGGAAGGAAGGAAGGAAGGAAGGAAGGTCTCAGCCACTCTAAGGAAGAATAACTGATGCCTAGATCTACAGTGTAGTTGACTGTGGTTGAAATGTCAGGATCCACTTTTGCACACTTCGCGGACTTAGGAAACTCCCAAGTAACCATTTGTGTCCTTGTGGCATACTTATTAGCAAGCTTCAGTCAAATGTACTTGTTTATAATTCACAAGAGGTAGCTAATCTCTCCTCTGACTCCAATTCAGCGATGGGTGACTTCATGGAAAATCTGTTGCTTACTTAGCAGCAGGATAAAAGTGATTCGACACTTCCTTCTCCCAAGATACATTTCAATTCCCCAGGCAAATAAATACTAAATCTGAATGAAGCTAATCCTACTGAAGAGTTCCTACCATGGCGTTACGTGGCAGAGCAGGAATAAAAGTGGAGAAATTAATTAAATTAAATCCTTTTGTTCTGTAGACATAATCCCTTAAATTTCTGTGTACAATCACCTAGGGTTGAGATTGCCTGGTACTAATATATCCCATTTAAGCACTAACCAGATCTGACCCCGTTTCACTTTTTGAGACCAAATAGATTGCTGATTAGAAAGAAAGCTTGCAAAGCAACTTCGCCAGAACTAACGTTAAACAGAGAAATAATGATTTGCTCCTAAATCCTGGCAGGGAAGGTGGGCAATGATAGATTTTTTTTCATAAATTGGAAAGTAACTTATTCATTAGAATATCTTAAACATTTGCTTTTTTTTTTTGCATTTTGTAAAGTAAGGGTTGTTTTAAGTTGTTTAGGAACAACAATAACATTAACTCTTAACTCTTTGAAAACTTAAGCATGTTAATAATTTTTGTTAGTACCATTTATACCAGGAGTGTGCACTTGTTGCTCTCTGGGTATTACAAACTACAACTCCCAGGTGCGTTAAGACAATTTAGCCAAGCGTAAAAGATGCTGGAAGATGTAGTTTAGCCTTTGCTAGAGACCCACAAATTTTAAAATGTCCATTTCATCCCTAGGGCTTTGCTCTTCCTCTGTTATGCTAATGCTTTGATTTCTGCCTTTGAAGGCCAGCCGAGCTGCCGCTGTCACTGAGCGTGTTTACACCCAAGTGCAACAATTTCTTAAAGAAGGTTGTTTAAGAGAAGAGATGGTGCTTGACAACATCCCAAAACTGCTGAACTGCTTAAGAGACTGCAACGTGGCCATCCGCTGGCTGATGCTTCATGCTGCAGACTTGGGTAAGAAGTGAACTTTTACAACAAGGATGGCCAATCCATCTAGAGAAGGGAAGTTTGCCAGTCACATTTTCTTTTCATGACTTAGCTAGAGGCACTCCCTTCTTAAAGTCCCCTCAATTCTGGACTCAATTGTGGTCGTAAGTGGAGGACCATCTGTAATTCACATGCAGTCTCCATATTCAGGATCGATGTATGTTAAAAAAAAACCAACAAGGGAAGCCATGGTCTTCAGACCCCATTGGGAATTTTTCATGGGAATGGAAAGTGTTGCTCCTGCTGAAAAATGTGTCAGGGAAAAGTTGTCAGGGAATTGCTCAGCTGGTGTCCAGACAGAGTCAGACAAACTTGTAGTTTTCTATAAATAAATATATTTAACATCTATATTTAGAGCAGACAAGATAGACACAGCTCTATATCATGAGGTAAATCAGTGGTTCTCAACCTGTGGGTCGGGACCCCATTTGGGGTCGAATGACCATTTCACGGGGGTCGCCAAATAAGGCTGTCCGCCATTTTTTCCCCCTTTTCTTTGGCCAAGCCCCTGGCACCCGGTGATGTATAAGTGGCTGGGGGTCACCACAACATGGGGAACTGTATTATGGGGTCGCGGCATTAGAAAGGTTGAGAACCACTGAGGTAAATCATCAGGTAAATCACAGAACAGCATACAGAGCATGCAGAAGAAAAAGGCGGGGAAAGAGGGAAACTCCCCCTTTACATCCAGCAACCAATCATAACATAGATTGCTTCATGCGGGAACCTGCACTCTCCCATCAATCAACCACAACTGTGTGTTCTGGCCCATTATACTCTTTACTATTCCAACTATTAAATATCTTGACACAAGTTCATTTATAATAATGATTTTAAATAATTTGCTACTTCTGTTAAAAAAAAGTGCCCTCTTTTTCCTTCCCTCCCCAGCTTATGATCCAAATAACAAGCGCCTCCGCCAGATAAAAGACCAAGTTCTCACTGACTCCAGATTCAAGCCCAAGATCCTTTTCCAGCTCCTCCTGGATACAGCCCAGTTTGAATTCATTTTGAAAGAGGTAAATAAAAACCTGGGGGGCTCTTTTCTGAGGCGGGAGGGAGTGTGTGTCACAGTTCACAAGAAGCTGTGGGTCATCCCAAAATAATAACAGCCGAAAACTCAGATTTGGCTATTTTTTTGAGTGTCATGATCATTGCTCTCCTGGGTTGTAGATGTCTCATTGCCAGAACCCAGAGAAACAGCTTCAGGAGTTTGTTTTCTCTGAAATCCTTGAAGGAGAATTTCATTTAAAAAAAATGTTTTTTTAAAGATGGCCTTATCTTTTCTTATTTTCTTGGAGAATCTTTGAAAAATGTATTATTGATGCTCTATCTATCTATCTATCTATCTATCTATCTATCTATCTATCTATCTATCTCATTTATAAACTGCCCATTATATTTGCGTGACTCTGGGCATTTTACAAATAAAACAATAAAACCATATAGAGGTAGTCCCCACCTTGCATCCATCCATTTAGCGACTGAATAAAGTGACTTATGACCAGTTCTTGCACCAACAATTGTTGTAATGTCCCCATGGTCACATGAAACAAAATTTGGGTGCTTGGCAACCAGCATATGTTACGACAGTTTCAGCATCCTGGGGTCATTTTAGTGAATGGGGGAAGCATTAGTGATCGTGTGATTCACTTTAACAACTGGGGCAACTTATCTAACAGGTGTGGCCCAAAAAAGGTTGCAAAATTAGTCATGACTCATTTAACAATCCGGTCACTTAGCAACAGATGTTCCGGTGTTAGGTGTTTTGGTCACCGCGGTGTAAAAAAGATGCTGAGACTCTAGAAAGAGTACAGAGAAGAGCAACAAAGATGATTAGGGGACTGGAGGCTAAAACATATAAGGAACGGTTGCTGGAATTGGGTTTGTCTAGTTTAACGAAGAGAAGGATGAGGGGGGACATGATAGCAGTGTTCCAATATCTGAGGGGCTGCCACAAAGAAGAGGGAGTCAAGCTGTTCTCCAAAGCATCTGAAGGCAGGACAAGAAGCAATGGATGGAAACTAACCAAAGAGAGAAGCAACCTAGAACTAAGGAGAAACTTCCTGACAGTTAGAACAATTAACCAGTGGAACAACCTGCCTCCAGAAGCGGGGAATGCTCCAACACTGGAAGTTTTTTTTTTTTTTATTGAAAATTTTTTAAAATTTTACAAAAACAAAACAACCCTTCCCCAAACCTCCCCAGCCCTCCCATTCCCTCCCCCGACCTTCCCAGAGCTGAATACAGGCTTAATTGAAATTTCTTCAAAAAATCTTAAAAAAGATATAAACCATGAATAAATCTAAATACATTAATTGAACAAATTATAAAATAATTAACAATAATATATGTATAGAAAAACATAAATACCAAAAGAAAAATGCTTTAAAGAAAAAAGAATAAAAAAAGAAAAAAGAAAACGATAAAAGAAAATATAATAAAAATAAAAAAAGAATAAAGTCTATAAAATATTTTAAATTTTAAATATAAGTTATTGAAAAACTAAATAATATTTTTTTATATCCAACTTATATTGTATAAAATCTATCCATTTTTTCCATACCACAAAATACTTCTCTTGCGATTGATCCTTCAAAAAAGCCGAAATCTTTGCCATTTCCGCCAAATAAGAAACTTTAAAAAACCACTCTAGCAAAGTAGGCAAAGATTCCTTCTTCCAACAACACTGGAAGTTTTTAAGAAGAGACTGGACAGCCATTTGTCTGAAATGGTGTAGGGTTTCCTGCCTGAGCAGGGGGTTGGACTAGATGACCTCCAAGGTCCCTTCCAACTTTACTACTACTACTACTACTATTATTATTATTATTATTATTATTAAAAACAAAGTTAACAAAATATATTTATTTATCAAATGTCTATTTTTAATGTGTGGTTAATTGAATAGAGTGCTTTTAAGTTTATTTGATCAATATTCTGACATATACCTCTTCTTCCTAATCAGATATTTTTAGTCATAGACTCAACTCAGCTAGCTGACTTTTTGGTCAGTGATTTGAATAGGATGTGCAATGATTCACTGACCCCTTAAGTGTATCATTAACAGCTTTGGGTTTTGGCCACTTGTCTTTTAATCTAGCTCTGGATAGTAAGATGGGTGGCATTTAAATTTAATAAATAAATCTGAGAAAAGTCTGTCTTTCTACTAGATGTTCAAACAAATGTTGTCAGAAAAGCAAACGAAGTGGGAGAGCTACAAGACAGAAGGATCAGAAAGAATGGCTGAATTGGCAGATGTCTTTTCAGGAGTGAAACCATTAACCAGAGTGGAGAAAAACGGTAGGCTGAAACAGAAAAACAAGTTGCAATTTTGTTAAAAACTTTTAGCGTCAAGAGTAATGAATTTCCAGTTCATTTTTAACAAAATCAAACCCACAACTCTTTGTCTAATTTAAATCTTTCTTCCAACTGTATATATGTAAACCAATGGCAGACACGTCCTTCTGATTTTAGCTCTCCCTTAGGATAGGATCACCAAGATTAAAAGATATTGTTTTACCGTAGGTCCACCAGTCTGGCTTCGCCACCATTTCTTTGTGTGTGTGTTTGTGGTTGCTTTTAGTTTTCAGCAGATGTGGTCATTGTCTTCATGCTATTGGCTCTTTTTAAGAGGGGAAAAAGTGGAGGGCTGAATTTCTTCAGTGAATAAATAAAGGGAAATGATGGACCGTGTTCATTATTGATTTGGTAGATGTGAAACTTGCTATTAGGACCTATGTTCTCTAGCAACTTCTGTTGAAATATTGCAAGTTGAATCCTTTCATGGCAAGTGCATATTTAATAAATTAAGAATTTCCAACAGCAAGATGGAAACATGACATGACAGTTTCAGCATCCTGGGGCCCTTTGTGACTTTTGCAGCTGGCCTCTCACAAGCAAAGTGAATGGGGGAAGCCAGAGTCACATGCAGAAATAACATCTTATTTCTCGAAGCTAAAAGAGGCCAGTATCCTGGCTCTGCTTTCCCCCCCACACGCACACAAGTTAGACTTCTAAGTCTTGTATTGTAGTGGCACATAAAGATTAGTATATTTTTGCAAATGAAGGAAAACAATCATCTAATTCTTAAGGATTTTTCCTATTTTAGTCAATATTTGGAAACACAACATTTGTAGACAGAGAGTTAAGGGCAGTGATGGCAAACCTTTTAGAGACCGAGTGCCCAAACTGCAACCCAAAACCCACTTATGTATCGTCGGGTGCCTGGTGGGCGTGCCCCATTGGGTGGGTTTGGCCAGTTGGGTGGGTGTGGCCCATTGGGTGGGCATGGCTGCGGTGGTAACGGCAGACTGAGTGGGACTAAAAAGTTCAATCAATTCCAACTTTGTGAGATCTTTTTCTTTTCCCACGAGAAGTTGAAATTGATTGATTGACACTTTTTCTTCTTCTTTTTTTTTTTTTTTTTTTTTTGCACATGGTGGCTGAGGCCTAAAGCGAAAAGGTTTTATAAAACTCAGCTAAAGGCCTAGGACTGGGGCGACGGCGCGCGTGCCACAGAGAGGGCTCTGCATGAGTTTAGGGGATTTCAGGGGCATTGACAGATCTGCCACAACAAGGTGATCTCTTTTATTCCTTTTCCTGCTTGGACAGAAAATCTGCAAGCCTGGTTTAGAGAAATCTCCAAACAAATCATGTCTCTGAACTACAACGACTCCACTGCAGCAGGCAGGAAAACAGTGCAGTTAATTCAAGCTTTGGAAGAGGTAAGGATGGAGTCCTCGTCTAAACATTTTCTTTTTTCTTGGTGGAATAATAACGATTTAAAATCTCCCCAGTGAATGAGCTGCATTCAATTGTTTAACGCAGGTCCAGGAATTTCACCAACTGGAGTCCAATCTGCAAGTTTGCCAGTTTCTCGCAGACTCTCGGAAGTTTCTGCATCAAATGATCCGAACCATCAACATTAAAGAAGAAGTTTTAATCACCATGCAGATAGTAGGGGACCTTTCCTACGCTTGGCAGCTCATTGACAGGTATGACTCCAAAGACATTCTGAATTCCTCTTACCAGGACTGATTAGCTGAGTAGGCTGGCTTCCCCAAATGAAGTAGCGGGTTTGATGTCCTACTGTAGAAGCAATCATACCTAAATAATGAATCTTGAGAGTTGGAACCTCTTCTGATTCTTATAATTTGTCAATTAAGGGGTGGAAAATGCTGCTACGTAGATTAAGAGTACAGATGGTCCTCCACTTATGATCATAGTGGAGCCTGCCCATCACAGTTGTAAGTCTCTAGACACACATAGTAAAGCAGTTGCCACAATTGCAAAGCGAACCAGTGTTTATTTATTTATTTATTTATGAGACTTATATACCGCTTTAAGTGCGAGCACTCTCTAAGCGGTGTACACCAGTAAGCAATGTGTGTATATATATATATATATATATATATATATATATATATATATATATATATATATATATATATATATATATTTACATTGCCCCCAACAATCTGGGTCCTCATTTTACCTACCCCGGAAGGATGGAAGGCTGAGTCAACCTTGAGCCGGTGAGATTTGAACTGCTGACCTGCTGAACAGTCAGCTAAAGTGACCTGCAGTACTGCACTCTAACTGCTGCGCCACCTCGGCTCATATTATGAGGTGGTTTTGCTGAAAACAGGAAATAAATTCAGCGAAACCCTTGTAAAATGCAATCAAATGACCGTGAGACACCGCAAGCAGCTATCAATGCAGCTTGGATGCCAAACGCCCGAGGTTTAGTCACATGACTGCAGGGGTGGAGGTGACCATTGAAATGTTAAATCTGGGTCCTAAGTAGCCCCCCAGGTGGGTTGTAAGCAACTGGTCATAAATTGAGGACTACCTACAGTTCATTCTACATGTACAGCATGTGTTCTACTGTAGAGCTACAATTCCTCTACAGCAGCGGTTCTCAACCTATGGGTCGCGACCCCATTTGGGGTCGATCGACCTCTTTTGTGGGGTCGCCAAACGCGGCGATCCGCCATTTTGTCGCCTCCGGGGGCGCGCCGCGCCTCCGGGGGGGCGGTGCCGCGCACGCACGCCGCGCGTGGGGGTGGCGGCGCGCCTCCGGGGGGCGGCGCCACACATGCGTGCCGCGCATGGGGCGGCGCCGCGCCTCCGCGCCACGCGTAAGGGGCGGCGCCGCGCATGCGCGCCGCGTGCGGGGGGCCCCGCCCCCATGCGCGCCGCGCGCGGGGTGGTGCCGCGCATGCGCGCCACGCGCGGGGGGGCCGCCCCCATGCGCGCCGCGCCGCGCATGCCCATAACGTTTGTGTGACGGGGGTCGCCGTCACACAAACGTTGAGAACCGCTGCTCTACAGGAATTGAATTCTATCTTAGCTCTTTGTTTTCTAATCACTTTAGGGAGCGGATTCTAAACTTGCTTGCCACATAAGGTGGTTGTTTTCTATGGAGAAGTTCAGATTTATTTGATTGTAAATGTAGCTGCCTTGTTTGATTGACAGTCTTCACACAAACAAGGCTTTAAAACAGTGGTTCTCAACCTTTTTAATGCCGTGACCCCCCAACCGGTCGTAAGTCGAGGACTACTCAGCCGGTCGTAAGTCGAGGACTACTCAACTGGTACAGTACCGTTTGCAGAATGGGACTTTTGGCGGGCTCAGCAGGGCAGAGACAGCCTGGACAATTCCTATTGGCTTTTGAAAGCCAATAGAATTAGACTCTATTCAAGAGAGTCTATTCTATTGACTTTCAAAAGCCCATAGAATAAAAGGGAATAGCACAGCTAAGGAAAAGGGGGGGAAAATGGCGGACTGCATTGTTTGGCGACCCCCGTGAAGTGGTCGTTCAACCCCAAATGGGGTCCCGACCCACAGGTTGAGAACCACTGCTTTAAAAGAAGGACAGAGAACTTTCCAGGAGGCCAAGCGCCACACCACTTTTAAGGGGAGTGAAGACCACAATAAGAAGTATAATAATATATGCAGAATCATATCATGTACTGGTTTAGTTTACAATTTTTCATATTTGTTTCTGCATTTATATGAATGGTTCTATTTTGTTGTTCTTCTTGTGCCATATCCGTTATTGGACATTGGCGGTCATGTTGGCAATCCTGTTTTTATCAGCAGCCGCACGAAAAAGTGCTGCTGAGTTTTGTCCAAACCAGGCCCTTAGATTTTGAAGCCACGACGTTCTTCTTCTGCCTGGATCTTGTTTGCCTTCCATCTTTCCCTGGAGGATTAAATGGAGTATGCCGTATTTCTCTGGGTGTCGCATCACATGTCCGAAATATTCTAATTTTCGTTTTTTAATTGTTTTGATGATTTCCTTTGCACTTAAATCTTAAACATGTTAAGTCTGTTTTAGCCCGAATATTGATTTCAGCTTTTATTTCTATCATGGCTTTATTTATCTTCTCCCACCCTTTTTCCAGTTTCACCTCTATCATGCAGGAAAGTATAAGAGTCAGCCCATCTATGGTAACCAAACTCCGGGCCACCTTTTTAAAGGTGAGTTGGTTAGTACATTAGCAACAATCTTGGGAAATCGGATTAGGAATCCTTTATGGGGGGGGGGCTTTGGGGGGGCACCTATTTGTTGCCTCTCTTGAAATTCTTTGTCACAAGTTGACAAATTGGATTTCCAAGACCATAAAACTGATCCATTTTATTCTGGATTCTTTCCAGAATGGAATTAGGCCTTTCAAAAATAATTAAGGATTTACTTTTCACTTACATAGTAATTCTAATGACTTTCACTCTCAGGCGTGGAAATCTGAGGCTCAATTTACACACCAAAGACAAAGTTTGCTTAGTCACAGCTTGTTAAATAATTGGCTGAGTTCGTACAGTAGATTAAGCCACAAACCATGATTTATAAGCCACAGTAGCTAGATTCGCTCCTTGCATTAAGCCACTATCAATAGAAACCATATTATTAACCTAAAGTATATCTGGGAACTTTATTGATGTCTCTATCTCCCTTGCTTCCAGCTGGCTTCAGCTCTTGACATGCCACTTCTTCGCATCAATCAAGCAAACAGTCCTGATCTTCTCAGTGTATCACAGTATTATTCTGGAGAACTGGTATCCTATGTAAGAAAGGTGAGCAAGATCATTTTTGGAGATATTTTTTCTCTTGTTACAAATTGGGAAAGCCGTTTTTCAAGAGTTCCCCTCTGGAAGAACTTTACAATAGACCAGTGTTTCTAAACCAACTGAAGATGTGCTGACTTCAGCTCCCATAATGCCATATTCTGACTGAGAAATTCTGGAAATTAAAAATCTACACATCTTAAAAATTGCTGATTTTGAGAAATGCTGCAGTAGACTATCACAATTCAAGTTGAACCTCTTGGCCACTGTAGCCAAGAACTTTCTAGATCTTTGAACCAAAAATAGTCTCCTTTGCTCAACCCCAGAAGCCAGAAAGGAAAGTGATTTGGATCTTCCTACATAAATCCAGTAATAAAGAACTGAACAACCATATAAGAGTTTGTTAGATTAGATTAATAGTAGTTGTATAATCACGCAGCCTTAAACATGATGACATTTACAATGAGAATGTTCTCTATTTAAATCAATGAAAGTTCATCTCTAGATAAAAAAAAATTGAATTTAGCGGAGAAAGGAAATATTAAAAAGAAAGGGAAGATAGCAAACACATTCATCAAATTCTAAATAATAATATTAATAACTATAATAATAATAAAGTTGGAAGGGACCTTGGAGGTCATCAAGTCCAACCCCCTGCTCAGGCAGGTAACCCTATATACCATTTCAGACAAATGGCTGTCCAGTCTCTTCTTAAAAACCTCCAGTGTTGGAGCATTCACCGCTTCTGGAGGCAGGTTGTTCCACTGATTAATTGTTCTAACTGTCAGGAAGTTTCTCCTTAGTTCTAGGTTGCTTCTCTCTTTAGTTAGTTTCCATCCGTTTCTTCTTGTCCTGCCCTCAGGTGCTTTGTGTTGAGCTAAACAACATATTGGGATAGATCACACCTATCTATGTGGCTAGAAAGTCAGTTTGGTATACAGGTAGTTCTTGCTTAATGACCATTTGTTCAGCAACCATTTGAAATTATAACAGCACTAAACAAAGGGATTTATGACCTGCCCTCCCCCAAATAATAGTTGAAAAGGGCTTTACTTGGGGATAACAAAAAATAACTTTTGCTAATTCAGGTCTCTCTTCATTGGAGTTGAATGGGTATTGTTCTATCATGCTAAAAACTAGAGGGGTACTGTACCCCTTAAAGGAACTATTGCTTTTCACTCGCTAATCAATATTTTTGCATTTTGTATTTTTGCCTTTTGGGAGAAAAGGTTTTACAGATCATTCCAGAAAGCATGTTCACTTCTCTCCTGAAGATTATAAAACTGCAGACTCATGATATCATTGAGGTGCCAACACGCTTGGACAAGGACAAGCTGCGAGATTATGCTCAACTTGGACCACGCTATGAGGTGCATCAAAGTTCACAGTGTTAAGAGAGATTAGGTGCACTTCTGGAATTGGTATGAAGTCATATTCCTGGATGATAGAGACTCTCTATAGATTTATGATAGCAAATCATCCATAATAAGGAATGAATATTTATCACAAAAAGTGGAAGTAGCTTATCTCTGTTCCTCTTGTCATATGGAAATGACAGTTGGGCATGTCATTTAAAACATGAAGTTAAGGAGAAAGAAGTCCATGTGGTAAAAGAAGAAAAGAGCTTCCTTATCAATGATGTTCTTTTCAGCTCCCTAATGCTCTGGAGGTGCCTTCTAATTACCAACCTCTCCTTTCTTTCTCAAAGGTTGCTAAGCTTACACACGCCATCTCCATTTTCACGGAAGGCATCCTGATGATGAAAACAACATTGGTTGGCATCATCAAGGTAACATTTCCATTGCAGTGGACAGAAAAATCTAGAGACCTGTTGATTCCCCAAGACAGATTTCATGAATTTTGGAATAAGTGGGGTCCAAAAGGTATGTGAAAATGATACAGTAACTTCACCCAAAGGAACAAAAATAGCATTTTGAAGGCCATTTCCCAACATTTCTTCAAGGGCTGTGCACGTATGTGTTTCTTCAAATCAGTGTTGATTCCTGGTGACTGCCTGGACTAGTCCCTGCAGCTGTAGCTTCTACATAATCATCTTCAAGGGTGTCTCCTTAGTCCTCTGTGATCACCATAGTAGGATGAAAAACAAGCCCAAAGGACATCTAGTGCCAGAATACTGAGTATGTAGGTGTTCTGCGAAAGTTTCCTCTCTTATCTTCCTCAAGATAAAACTGTTCAGCTCAGCCATAGCATAATAGAGAGTAGGAGACACGTATCCAACAAACAGAAAAGCACATGAAGAGAAAGTAGGTGTGATGACCCAGGGCACAGCACAGAGGCAATGCAGTCAGCTGGCAATTCAAACAGTTCTTTTATTGCTCCAAATTTCCCCCAAATGCTCCCCACATTTGCTGGCAAGCCTCCAACAACAGAACGGCACACACATCCCTTGAGCCGACTATGGCTGAAAGTAGGTTCAAATACAGTCTGATTAACATAAGAAAGTACTCAAGGCCATAGAGATAACAAGGAAGAAAACAAACTTTAAGGCAGGGGTTCTCAACCTTGGCAACTTTAAGACTTGTGGACTTCAACTCCCAGAATTCCTCAGCCAGCAAAGCAAAGCTGGCTGAGGAATTCTGGGAGTTGAAGTCCACAAGTCTTAAAGTTGCCAAGGTTGAGAACCCCTGCTTTAACGAGTCTGTTTGAATCCTAGCTTGCCTGAGCAGTTTTCAAAAGAGAGAATGTGAAATACAGTCCGATAGTCAAAGTTTCCAGGTTTCCAGACAGAAGTCACAGATCAGCAGCAATACACAACGCTCCAAGGAATCAGCGTTTGTTCCCGACAAATGCCCCTCCCCACAGCATCTCCTTAAATCTCAGTCTCCAGGTGTTCCTTGTGGAGTGGGGCAAGACACTGCCTGTGTTATTCCCTCCTCTCCATTCTCCGTGCTCTGTGATCAGGTGGGGATGACCCTTGCTCATCACCTGAACTCTGCCTCTCCTGTTCCTCCTGCTCCAATCCTGAAGGGGCCTGGCCTGCCTCGGCCTGCTCTTTCCCACATTCCTCTGAAGCCACAAACACCTCTCCTTCGGCCTCCATAGGGTCCCGTTCCAGTTCATTTTCTTCCGCAGATTCAGGCTCAGACGGAGGCACGACACGTTATCATTTCTCTCTTCTGTGGGTTTTCCAGGTTGACCCAAAACAGCTGCTTGAAGATGGAATTAGAAAGGAGCTGGTCAAACGAGTGGCTTTTGCCCTACACCGAGGGCTCACCTTCAACCCCAGAGCTAAGGTATCAGGGGGTCTTTCCCCCCTTTTTCTGTTTGCCTACATTCATTTAGCCCAGTTCTTTGTTATCGTACCAACAGTTACAGTAAAATTCTCATCCTTGTTCCCCTTTTAGGAATTAAATGCTCCAAGTCATCTCCCTACAGCTTCACGAAAGAGAGATTTCATCCATTACACACAGTCTCAAATTCTCTTTCAGATTTATGGGCAACTCTTGAAACAGGTGGCGGAACAGGGGTGTTCCAGTTTGCAAATACATTTTAAAAATACTTGGAGGCAGAGCAGCTGAGCAGCTTTTCCTTCTCTCCATCTTGTAATGGTGAAATTGTTTCTCCTTGGAAGGGAGGGAGAAGGTTCCAGGAAAGAGGAAATTCTGGAATCCACCAGTAGTCCTCAATTTACAACCACAGTTGAGACCAAATTTCCGTTGCTAGGCATGGCGGTTGTTAAGTAAGTAATGCCCGATTTACAACCTTGTCTGTCACGGTTGTTAATCAAATCCCTGCAGTTGTTAAGTGAATCATGCATTTGTCGAACGAATTTGGCTTTCCACATTGACTCCGCTTGTCGGAAGCCAGCTGGAAAGGTTGCGAATGGTGATCACGTGATCCTGAGACACTGCAACCGTGGTAAATACATGCAGACTGCCCAAGTACTCAAATGTTGATAACGTGGCTGTGGGGATGCTACAACAGTCGTAAGGGTGGCAACTGTTTGTAAATAACTTTCTTCGGTGCCATTGTAACTTCGAAGAGCCACTAAATGAATAGTTGTAAGTTGAGGACTATCTGTATTGGGATGTGCACAAAGAGGTTAAAGCAGGGGTCTTCAAACTTGGCCCTTTTATGACTTGTGGACTTCAACTCCCAGAATTCCTCAGCCAGGCATACCTGGCTGAGGAATTCTGGGAGTTGAAGTCCACAAGTCATAAAAGGGCCAAGCTTGAAGACCCCTGGGTTAAAGTGATCAAAATTGCAGTTGTGACTTTGCAGTCCAAACCCACAGTCCTTTCTTAGCATCTGCCGTCGTGAGTTTCCTAAACCTGCCCTTCTGTAGACATCCCTGAATGGAGAAGTAACAAATTTAAGAAGGCAAAGATGGTGAATGGGCCTTTTGATGGACCTTTTGATTTTCCCGATTTCCACAGCTCAGCGAGCTGATGCCCAGACTGAAAGATATGGCAGCCACAATGGATGGGTTCCACCGTTCCTTTGAGTACATCCAGGACTATGTCAACATCTGTGGATTAAAAATCTGGCAGGAAGAAGTATCCCGTATTATTAATTACAACGTGGAGCAGGAATGCAACAACTTCTTAAGGGCAAAGGTATTCAACATCCTTATTAAAAAGCTGTAGAATGTATGGATATCAACAGAAAAGAATATTTGTAGCTCAGGGTTCAACTACAGGGGCCTTGATGCTCCCTGAGCTTCTTGCAGACACTTCATTACCCAACTAGGTAGCATCATCAGTGCTAGAAGGAAAAGGGTTGCTCTCTGCTTATATACAAGTAGCTTGCAGAGAATAAACCCCACTCCCTTCTAGTACTGATAATGTTACCTAGTTGGTAAGGGGAATGAAGCATCTGCAAGAAAGCAGTCAAGCTCAGAGAGGATCAAGGAACCCACGATGGGGTTACTGGATTACTATCTTATGTTTAATGCTGCTTATTCAGAGTCCTGGTGTCCTTCTTTGAATTCCTCCTCCATTTTGACTCCAAAAATGGCGTGAGGAAATACTCTGCTGGCTGTAAGCATCTCTCCAAACCTCTTCACAGAAAACTGGACAGAAGGAGAGAGTGAAACCATTGTGCCACAAGAAGTTCTTGGGACTAAATTCACACATTTCACTAAGATATTGTTTCCTTTTTAGTCCGCTTTAATGTGTTGTGTGAAGCCAGCCGAATGTAGATCAGTCAGTAGATCATGATTGAGTAAGTTAAAGTTTAGCACGGTGGGTTAATCTAGCCCCAGTATTTATTGCACTAGACTTGTTTCACTCACTTCTTCCAACGTTATGTTTTAAAGTTACACAATCCAAATGCAAACGCAACGGTTGTAAGGCAGCCACTGCAATCGTTAAGTGAACACCACTGTTGTTAAGCAAATCCATTGTTCGGAATGGGACAACTCGCCACGGCCACCATTGTTTGCTATGGGGTATTTTTGCCTAAATTTGGAAATAAATAAATGCTGGTTTCTAGTAAATGTGTCAAAAATGGCACACATGGCTATGGGGGGGAGAGAACAAAACTTTGAAACCAGGTTAAAAGTGCCTGGAGGGGGGTGTCTGTCAAAACTTCAAACAGTCACTAAGTGATCAGTCATAAGTCAAGGATTACTGGTAAATGCTGTGGACAGACTGAGAGCAGCCATCAAGAGCCCTGAAACCAACACTACCCATGGATAACACTAGATAGATAACATTTATTGTCATTTTTTTATTGTGGGCACAATGGCACACATTAAAAATGAAAATTAGTTGCTTGCTCTCAAAGTCTACACATACATAACACACATTTAAACGTACTATATACAACATATGTATAGACCTACACCCTTACATATAAGTAATATATAAATATTAATCACTGTCCATCTTGAATATATAACAGAAGGAGGAAGCTTTAGAGTTCACAAGGTTAATACTGTATGGAACAAAACTGTGACTGAATCTGGATGTTCTGCTTCGGGTACCATGAAGCCTCCTCCCAGAAGGTAACAAGGAAAACAGGTCCTGATGAGGATGTGTAGCATTCCAGACAACCTTACGGACCCTACTCAAGCAATGATTATGTGCTATGTCCTGGATAGAAGGGAGGAAACTGCCAATGATCTTTTCAGCCATCCTCACCACTCTCTGCATCGCCTTCCTGTGAAGCAGTGATGCTTCCAAGCCAGACTGTGATGCTGTATGACAGGATGCTCTCGATCGTTCCCCTGCAGAAAGTGGTCAGGACAGGGGAAGGAAGATGTGCTTTTCTCATGCGAGCAGAAAATGTAAGTGCTGCTGTGCCCGCTTCACCAGTTTTTCACTGTTGAGTGACCAAGCCAGCCTACTCGTTAACTGCACACCCAGGAATTTGATGCTGATAGCCATCTCCACAGGTGAATCATTGATGCACAGAGAAGGGTGGCCGTGCCTGCCTTTTCTGAAATCGACAATGATCTCTTTGTTTTTTCCAGTATTTAAAATTAGGCCGTTTTCCTTACACCAGTTCGCCACTAGGATACTGTAGTCTTGAAAAACAGCCTGATTTTTTTTTTTTTTTTTTTTTTGGGAAACATGCAATTACGTATAATAAGAGATAGTTCAGAATGATTTCACTGTGCATGTCTTTCAGATTCAAGACTGGCAAAGCATCTACCAATCCACCCATATTCCAATACCAAAATTTGCACCTACAGACGAATCTGTTACTTTTATTGGTCGTCTCTGCAGAGAAATTCTGAGAATCACTGACCCAAAGTAAGAAGACTACATAATTTGCGTATTCCCGTAGAAAATGGGCTATTTCCTGACATCTCCACATAGGATCAGCAGACTAAACCAGACAAAAGTTTCATAAAACTCCTACCCCTTCATCTCTTACAGCAAGGGTGTCAAACTCAATTTCATTGAGGGCCACATCAGCATTGCGGTAGCCCTGGGGGGGGGTGTGTGGCCAGGGTGCGTGTGGCCTACTAGGTGGGTGTGAACAGAGTGGGTGTGGCCTATTGGGTGGGCATGGCCAGCTCTACATCGTTCGCATCAAGGGTGCTGTGGGGGCCTGGGCAGGAGTAGGACAGATCTGAGGGTCTCTGGCAGAAGGGGGTGGGACCCCGGGGCAAGTGCCAAGGCATGGTCCACTGGAGGAGCCTCACTGCCTGCTGAAACCCCTCCGCCGGAGCCCATCAAGCCGGATATGTGAAGTAGGCTAGGGCCATTTGCTGGCCATTTCCAGGCAATGGTGCATTTCTTCATTCCTCACAAAGGGTGACACCTCCCCAGCATGCACCCAGGGGACGGGGCCGACACAGCAGGGGCTGGTTCCTCGCTGTTTCCAGACAGTCTTGTGGAGCTAAGACTGAATGCATTTCAGCATAGACGGCCACCACAAAATTGTACATTGGCTCCCAGCCGGCCTGGGCCTGGGCCAGGGCCAAGGCAGCGAGGGCCATTCCCTCACTGTTTCCAGGATGGCTTCACTGGCCACATGAAACTACTTTGCAGGCCACATCTGGCCCCCGGGCCTTGTGTTTGACATGTCTGTCTTACAGAGTCTGTATCTTAAGAGGAAAAAGTCTTCCTCTCCTTCTACTCCCTCTTTCTCCTTCCTCCTTCTCTTCCTTCTCCCTATCTCCCTCTCCCTGCTCTTCTTCCCCCCCTTTTTCTCCTCCTCCCCCACTCTTTTTTCTCCTTTTCCTTTCCCTCTTCTCCTCCTCCTTCCTCCTTTCTTTCCCCCCCCCTTCCCCTTTCTGCCTGAACTAGTCAAAAACGTGGAACTATATCTCATTCCAGACCTGCAGAAGTTTTAGCCCGGAATAGACTCTGACTCTCAGTATGAAAAATTGCATAATTTAATGGATCTAAATTTTATTATTGCAGATCTTCCTGTTTCTTGTTTGGCTTACTTTACTCAATATCTGATTGCTTAGATTGTTCACACTTGCCAGCTTGCTCACAGATAAGATCCTTCCTTCAGTGATGGCTACTTACCTTTTGACAGGTCTGCCTGCTATATTGATCAACTTAACACCTGGTATGATATGAAAACTCACCAGGAAGTCTCCAACAGTCGCCTGTTTGCCGAGATCCAGAACACTTTGGGAACCTTTGGTCTCAACGGATTAGACCGTCTTCTCTGCTTCATGATTGTCAAAGAGTTGCAGGTAACCAGGCCCCAGCCCAGCTCCAGTTCAGCCAGATTATCACAAAACAAGTCCTCCTGGACTAAGAAATGGGTACCATTTTTCTCTCCATTAGCCTCCTATAATCAGTTGTGAAAATACAAGTGGTCCTCAGTTAACCATTCATTCAGTGTCCATTCAAATGTACAACGGCATTGACCGGTGCTCATGCTTACGGCCATGGCAGCACCCCTGCAGTCCCATGATCACAATCTGAGCACTTGTTGGTCCTTATTTCTGACAATCATAGTCACATGATGGTGTTTGCAACTTCCCTGCCAGCTTCCCATCAGCAAAGTCACCGGGGCAGCTGGTGTGAAATCATAGGAACTTGCTTAATGTCCATCAGTGATAACCAGCAATTGCCATCTCTAAGCAGCACAGTCACTTGACATTGTGCTTTATGTTTATATCACTTAAGAGATGGAAATTCAGGTCCCAATTACCTTTGTTGAGTGAGGAGTACCTGTAACCTTAAAGATGGAGATGGGCTGCAGCCTAGACAACTGTCACACGAAAGGTAGATAGAAGGAAAAGAAGGACGGAAAAGTACGTGGGAGATGTCTCAGAAAGGACTCTCCCTAGTTTTGGGGGAAATAAAAATAAAAGAGGGAAGAAAGATTTTCAGACCTGCAAGATTCTGTTACTGTAACCTTATGATAAAGATAACTTTAGTACTCATGGTTTGTGCTTCTTATCTGGACTACCTCAAAGGACTGACACTTCCAGATATGATGGACTACAATCCCCATATTCCTAAGCAGCTTAGCTAATAGTGGGATAAATTGGGACTTATTTATGTCCTGCCTTTCTCTCAGAAGCTCAAGGCAATTTAGAAAACAAGATAAAATAACAAATAGAAGACTAACAGAGTTGGAAGGGACCTTGGAGGTCTTCTAGTCCAACCTGCTCAGGCAGGAAACCCCTGTACCATTTCAGACAAACAGTTGTCCAAACTCTTCTTAAAGACCTCCAGTGTTGGAGCACTCACAACTTCTGGAGACAAACCATTCCAATTTTCATCATTCTCAATTTTCTTTTCTCCAGAGCCAGCAACTTTGAACGTGGTCACAGAATACATTAAAACCAGCATTTTTCAGCCTTGGCAATTTTAAGATCTGTGGATGTCAACTCCCAGAGTTCCCTGGCCAGCAGTTCTTTTGAAGCCCACACATTGTAGTATTTCCATAGTTGAAAAACACAGCTGTAAACAAGATCTTGGGTTCCATTCTGGGTTATTCATGCCATACAAAACACAGTATGTGCAACCGCAGTGGACTTTTTCTGCAGAATATCCCAAAGAATCTTTTTTCTTTTCTCTCCAGAATTTCCTCATCATGTTTCAGAAAACAGTGCTGCATGATAAAGGGGTCCACGAAGCGTTGAAGTCTCTCATGAAGAGTGTCAGCCCTCTGAAAGGACTTGTGGGTAAGACCCTTAAAGCAGGGTCCTGGGCTAGAAAATGGCCAGCATTTGAATGGCTTTTGTTGTTGTTGTTGTTGTTTTCGCGAAGTCGTGTCCGACCCATCGTGACCCCATGGACAACGTTCCTCCAGGCCTTCCTGTCCTCTGCCATCTTCTGGAGTCCCTTTAAGCTCACACCTACTGCTTCAGTGACTCCATCCACCCACCTCATTCTCTATCATCCCTTTCTTCTCTTGCCTTCAGTCTTTCCCAGCATTAGGCTCTTCTCCAGTGAATCCTTCCTTCTCATTAGGTGGCCAAAGTATTTGAGTTTCAACTTCAGGATCTTCAACTTCTAAAGAGCAGTCGGGGTTGATCTCCTCTAGGACTGACCGGTTTGATCGCCTTGCAGTCCAGGGGACTCGCAGAAGTCTTCTCCAGCATCATAGTTCAAAGGCCTCAATTCTTTGGCACTCAGCCTTTCTTATGGTCTACCTTTCACAGCCATACATTGCAGCTGGGAAAACCATGGCCTTGACTATACGCACTTTTGTTGGCAGGGTGATGTCTCTGCTTTTTAGTATGCTGTCTAGATTTGCCATAGCTTTCCTCCCCAGGAGCAAATGTCTTTTAATTTCTTGGCTGCAGTCCCCATCTGCGGTGATCTAGGAGCCCAGGAAGATAAAATCTGTCACTATCTCCATTTCTTCCCCATCTATTTGCCAGGAATTGAGTGACCTTGGCTTTTAGGAACCCGAAAAATAAATAAAATGAAATTTGGAAAATGAAAGCCCTGGGAATAATTTACCTCCTTGCCCGCTATCACCTTCTTTCTCTTTCTGTCCCTATGTAACACAAGCGGTCCTTGACTTATGGCCACCATTGGGATCAGAATTTTGGGTGCTAAGCAATGCAGTAATTATACGAGTCATCACAGGACTGAACCTGATGGCAAATGGTGACCCCAGGACCATTGTAAAAGCAAGCCAGTTGCCAAGGGCCTAAATTGTGATCATGTGACCACACGGGTGGTGCGATCATCATAACATCGAGGACAGATCATGAGTCACCTTTTCCAAGGCCATTGTAACTATCATTAAATGAATGGTCATAAATTGAGGATTACCTGTTAGTGACCAGTAGAAGAGGCATGTTATGGGTCCCATCTATGAAAGAGTGTCATCTGGCAAGACCCCGAAAGGGAGCGTTTTCTGCTATGGCACCTACCTTGTGGAATATCATTTTCCCCAAACTCCTGAAACCTAGACTGTCCCCACCCTCCCAGCCTTTAGGAAGGCCCCAAAGACATGGTTCTGTCCCCTGCCCGGGGGTCTGGCAATGATGGATGGCTCTTACAATGGCTGTGTTGGAATACTGGCTGGAGAATTCTGGAAGTTGAAGTCCACGCAACTGAAAACTTTCCAAGGTTGAGAAATACTGTCTTCAGAGTATTTTTTTATGGGGTGGAGGAAACAGAATAATAATTGTAGAGGGAGAGGAGGAATAGAAAGTCACTTCTAAAACTTATTTTTCTCTCAATGTTCTGTTGCAGCTAATTGTAACAGAGTCTATTCTACAGCAATTACCAAAACACAGAAGATCTGGGCTGCCTACCTTGACACAATTATGAAGGTACTTTGGCTATATCAGTCATGGGATAGGGAACATCTGGATGACCCTCTAGCTGAGAGAAGTTTGGGAGCTGCACCTTACAGCAGAATCCACATGGGTCTCACCTTGAGGATATTCTAAAAGTCTCTGAAAACTTGGATGTCTTCACAGTCCGTGATGTTGAAAAAGCTAAACAGAGTTGGACCTGGTTAAATCTTGGATGAGAGGTTATCAGAAAATCCCAGGCTTTTGGCTAGATCAGAAATTGGAAAGACATGCATATGTACATAAATAAAATGCAACAGCCATGTTGTTCTTTAACAGGAGGGTGAAACATGAAGTTTTGATTGCTATAAGAAGCAGCTAAGTTAGCTGATGCTTCATTAATATCAGAATCAAACACTCTCCTTAAATAGATAAGGTGCCTATTTTCTTGGGAGCAATCCTCTTAGAAGTCAGTCAAGTCTTCTGAATCGTAACGTAGAGCATTAGGGTGCTCCTTCCTACATTACACTTTTTCGGATAAATGGGATTCTGGAAGTTGTAGGATCAATACATCTAGGATGTCTTGGGAAAAGCTTCATTAGGGCTATAATAGTAACTTTTAACTGGTAATCTTCAGTGTCCATTAAAAAAAACCCAGGATGTTTTAGGCCCGTGGTGGCGAACCTATGGCACACGTGCCACAAGTGGCACACAGAGTCCTCTCTGTGGGCACGCGCACCATTGCCCCAGTCCTAGGCCTTCAGCTGGGTTTTATAAAACCTTTTCACTTTAGGCCTCCGCTGCCGTGTGCAAAAAAAAAGGTTCAATCAATCAATTTCAACTTCTCACGGGGAAAAAAAAAAGATCTCGCAAAGTTGGAATTCATTGAACTTTTTAGTCCCACCCAGTCTGCCATTACCACCGAAGCCACGCCCACCCAATGGGCCACACCCACCCAGCACCTGACGATACATAAGTGGGTTTTGGGTTGCAGTTTGGGCACTCGGTCTCTAAAAGGTTCGCCATCACTGTTTTAGGCAATAAATTGTACTATTCATTCGTTTTCATTTGGGGGGGGGATCTTTTAATTCTCGTCATCTCTTCCCTAGGTTGGCCAGATGCAAATTTTAAGACGCCAAATAGGCAATGAACTGAACTATTCCTGCAGATTCGACTCCAAGCATTTAGCAGCTGCCCTGGAGAACCTTAACAAGTAAGACCGCAAGCTTCTTGAGGACTAGCGTGTATCACTGGGATGGTAACAATGATAATCGCTTCTCATATTCTGGGACGACAACATAAATAATAATAACTTTTCAAATCCATGGGCATCAAAAGGGAGCATCTACAATTTGAGATGCTCCTCTCAGCTCAGAATGCAAAGCAAATTTGGGTAGAGCCATGGGTTCAAAAAAATAGGTTGCACCACAAAGAACGGGAAATTAGTCTCTAGTCATTCATGGATCTTGGTAGCAGGAAGCAATTATCAGTCCAATGTTTGGAATCCTCTTGACATCTGCTCCAGATTTATGTTCGCTCATAAATTCTTTATTTGCTGCTTAATTGTAACCATGGCCTGATTATCAGTTCAGTTTTGAAAGAAATTAGACCGTTTGTGAGGGATCAAGTGAGCATGGCGGCTAATCTCATTGACCCTTTCTGAGCTCCAGAATTACAAGCTACAAATCCTTAAATACCAGCTGCTGGGGAAAAATAGAAAGGAGAATTTATTTATCTGTTTGTTAACTTTATTTCCTCTCTTACTGTGGGGCTTACTCTAAGCGGCTTCCAATAGTGAAATTTATTTATTTATTTATTTATTTATGAGACTTATATACCGCTTTAAGTGCAAGCACTCTCTAAGCGGTGTACACCAGTAAGCAATGTATATATATATTTACATTGCCCCCAACAACCTGGGTCCTCATTTTACCTACCCCGGAAGGATGGAAGGCTGAGTCAACCTTGAGCTGGTGAGATTTGAACCGCTGACCTGCTGAACACAGTCAGCTAAAGTGGCCTGCAGTACTGCACTCTAACTGCTGCGCCACCTCGACGAGAAATGAAAAAGTGGATAAGTGGAACAAGTAAAATAATAGAACAATAAAATAAGCAACGATGAAGGAACACCGTGAGAATAATACATCAGTATGATAACCAAACAGATGGATGGGTAGAGAGCAAAGGGGCGGGAGGAGGTGGGGGTCTGCCCTCAATCTAGCAGCCACCTCCAGCATGGAAGTTCCCCATCTAGGTCAACTGGCAGAGCCAGGTCAAAATATCAGAGTTGGACGGGACTTTGGAGGTCTTCTAGTCCAACCCCCTGCTCAAGCAGGAGGCCCTGTAACATTTCAGACAAATGGTTGTCCAATTTCTTCTTAAAAACCTCCAGTGATGGAACACTCACAACTTCAGGCTCTTGTGGAAGGCTAGGAGGGTGGGAGCAATTGGGTGGTGAGATTGCTGTCCACTCAATGTTTGAGCTTCTCAAATCCATTCTGACTACTGTAGGACGTAGAACACAGAAATAGGTTGGCCTTTGGCCAGATTCAGTAAAGGTGCTCTGGTGTTCTTTTGCCCTTATAGAGCAATCCTGGCTGATATAGAGGCCCATTATCAAGACCCTTCTTTGCCTTGCCCCAAAGAAGATAACACCCTCCTGTATGAAATTACTGCTTACCTGGAGGCTGCTGGCATCCATAATCCACTGAATAAGGTGAGACCCTTTTCCTAATTAAGCTCTCTCAGTCCTTGGGGTCATCCCAATCTGTGGCCCCAATCACTGGCATGTTTAATCAGCATGGCCCTCTAACCTATGCGACACCATCTTTACGAAGAGGTCTCAGTTCTGTTTTTAACTCTGGAAAAACCGTGAATCCGGCAGAAAAAGAGGCAGCAGAGCTCAGATTGGAAGGGTGGGATTGCAGGGGGAGGAGGGGGCAAATGCGGAAAAATAATTTCTTGGTTTAAATTTAACACCGAACCCTGCAACAACTTTGGACAGTATAGAAACCGTGGGCCACCAATGCAAACAGAAATAGGTAATGTATTCGTCATCATTTCAAGCTTTTATTTCAAAAGCCCTGTCAAACATTCAGAAGTTGTGGATAGAAAGAGCTTCTTTAGTGATGGTATCTCAATTAAACAGCATCTTCAGAAAACGTTCTCTGATTCTCAGCATGATGGTCTGTCTAGTTTCTCAACTATAGAACTATCCCATTATTTTCTTTTGTTCAATAGATTATTTTTCCTCCCTCTGTTCTTTCTTTGCATTGATTTAGCATAGCATAATCTCTTTTTCTTCAGTTCTTTTGCGTGATTTTTTTTAAAGAACTGTATGAATTTCATTGTTTTGCTGTCTGAAATGGTGATTATAAAATAATCTGGATTTTTTTTTAAAAAAATTAATACATTCTTTCCTTCAAAATGTTCTTTCCCAGATCTACATTACGACAAAACGATTGCCGTATTTCCCCATTGTGAATTTTCTGTTTCTGATTTCCCAGTTGCCAAAACTTCAATACAGTAAACACTTAGGTATAGTATTAATTTTTCTGTAACCTTTCACTTTAAGCATAGGTGATTAGAAAAGTATTTTCACTTTATCAAAATTACCAGCATTCAAATTTCCTTGCAGATAGAATTGCACAGAATTTAATTGCTCTAAATTTGTGCTATAATTCTTAGGAGTTCTAGTGAACTCATATGTATGTATATGTATATGCATATGTATGTATACATTTTTATATATACATTTATTGACACGCACACCGCGCACACACACACACACACACACACACACACACACACATCTGTTGGGTGAGGCACCCAGTCTACCAAATATAAATCAGTCTGTTCTGCGTTTCGCTCCAATCTAGGGGCATGTTTTACAGGCAGACGTCACATACTGTGGACACTATAAATTCAAATACAGCTGCCTAACATGCAAGCTGCCCTGGTCATCTTCAGGCTGGGGTCTTCGGCTTCGTGCTTGTGCGAGCAAAGTGCGATCGGACCTGCCGTCTCTCTATAACAGTGTTTCTCAACCTTGACAATTTTAAGGCATGTGGAATTCTGGGAGTTGAAGTCCACATGCCTTAAAATTGTCAAGGTTGAGAAACACTGCTCTATAAATATTGGTGTGCGTGTGGAGTGCTGGCTTACTTGCTGTAGGTGGGTTGGTTGGCTGTGTTGGGAGTTATTGTTTGCAGATTGTTCGGCTGTTTCATAACATCCTGAGTACTGGCTGTGTGCCCATTAGTCTTTTGTTTTGTAATGACCTGGGTAATAAGCTGTGTGGTGACATCCTGAGATCTAGTGTAGTGATATCCTGAGTTCTGTGTTGCAACATCCTGGGTGGTTGGCTGTGTTGTAACATCCTGAACTTTAGCGTTGTAACCTCCTGAGTTCTGTGATGTGGGTCTTTTCCCGTGTAAGATTGAGAGTATCTTGGCGATGTTTCGACGAGGTCCCACTCGTCATCTTCAGGCTGGGGTCTTCAGCTTTGTGCTTGTGCGAGCAAAGTGTGATCGGAGCTGCCGTCTCTCTATAAATATATATATAGTTTTATACCTAGATCAGTGGTTCTCAACCTTTTTAATGCCACGACCCCCAACCGGTCGTAAGTCGAGGACTACTCAACCGGTCGTAAGTCAAGGACTACTCAACTGGTACAGCACCGTTTGCAGAATGGGACTTTTGGCGGGCTCAGCAGGGCAGAGACAGCCTGGACAATTCCTATTGGCTTTTGAAAGCCAATGGAATTAGACTCTGTTCAAGAGAGTCTATTCTATTGGCTTTCACAAGCCAATAGAATAAAAGGGAGTAGCACAGTTAAGGAAAAGGGGGAAAAAATGGCGGGCTGCATTGTTTGGCGACCCCCGTGAAATGGTTGTTCGACCCCAAATGGGGTCCCGACCCACAGGTTGAGAACCATTCTTAGATGGATATATTCTTTTGCCCATCAGTATAGGTATGTGTATATCTATAAATATATGTATATATAGTGTGTGTGTGTCTGTAACTGGCTCCCTCTACTAAGAAATGGAGATGGGCACCTCCCCCTAGAATTGGATACAACTGGAAAGAGGAACCTTTCATGTACAAATTCTGTTTAAGTTCCTTTTGGGGGATGGTTATCCTTGAGTAATGAATTGTTCCTTGGATGCAGCTTGCAAATATTAAGATGGACTATAATCCAAGGAAAATACTAGAGGGAATCCATTTCGCCACGTATTCCCAAGCCATAGAGACCATCATGTAACACGGATTTTCCATAGTATTCTGAATTGCTGCCACCAGCTGTGCCTTATGCTGCAACCCCCAAACTATGAGAAAATGTATTGGGTTGGGTTTTGTTTTCCTTCAGGGATGGTTTGTCGAAAGCCAGCTGATCCCATTGACTGGCCACCTCTGGTACTGGGGCTCCTGACTTTGCTGAAGCAGTTTCATTCTCGCTACACTGAACAATTTCTGGGTCTGATCGGTCAGTTTGTTCGCTCCACAATGGAACAGTGCACCAGGTATCAACTTCTCCTTCACAAAGCTGAATCAAAGGTGTTAGGATTGGATTCCCCTTCAAATCGCAGCTGGCTAGCCATTGTCCAAGAAGCTTTAATTTGAATTTCTGAGCTGAGAGTTACACTCCATGGTTAAGAAGACATGAGCTGCTCAGTAGAGGGTGGAGACCATCTAGCCTTTGGATGTTGCTGAGTTACAGCTTGCAACAATGCAGGTTGGCTAATGATTAGGAATTCTGAAAGTTGTAGCTTACCAATATTCAGAGGGCCATAGTTTCCCCACCCTCAATAAAATTAAAAGTTTGATCACTGGTGGCTCCCTTGTCCCTTTTCTAAACCTGTTTCCAACTCACCTGTTTGAAATGTGACGGGCCAAAGAGGCACAGAATTGTACACCAACAATTCACCCCGTAAAGTTGAATTTTTGTCAATGGCTAAGTTCACATATTCTCAAGGCACAGTTTAGTTAGCAAATCACAGGCAGCATGAGTTCACAAGACGTGCTAAGCCAAAATCAGTCAAACCACATGTTGACAGTGTTTAAATCTTGTCCTTGACAGAACTTGTAGCACCAGCTCTTCTTTTAATTCCTGTCTAGCTTAAAGGCTCGGAGTTGTCTCTCAGTCAAATACTCACCAGATTTAATCCCTCTTAAAATAAGAGGTGATTAAACCATCTCATGTTGTGGTTTTGTCCTTAATTCACAGCCAGAAGGTCCCAGAAATGCCAGCAGATGTTGTGGGCGCCCTGCTTTTTTTAGAAGATTATGTTCGTTACACAAAATTACCAAGAAGGGTAAGTAACAAGGGATTTTTTTTTTTAGAATGAGTCCAATGAACTGAATGGACAAAAACACCCAGCATGTATACCTCTATTTTTCAAGTCATCCTTAGAATAAGCTTTAGAGCAGCATTTCCCAACCTTGGCAACTTTAAGATATGTGGACCTCAACTTCCAGAATTCCCCAGCCAGTATGATCATTTCTGATAATTCTGGTTTTAAAAGGTTGCCACAGCTGAGAAAGATAAAAGAATAATTAAGCAGTTTCCTTTGCAAAACTTGCTTGCTTGGAACTTGGACGTCACACTCTGAATAACTTAGTTCACCATTAATTTGGAACAAGGCTCATCTTTTCTGAAAATAAAATTTGATCTGCAAATGGTGGGCTTAATCAAAACTAAAAGAATTAAGTATAGATTTAATAAAAATAGCAATGGCTATGCCTTAATGATTCTTGTATAGTTGCAGTTTCCCACTTCACCCCTAAGCGCTTCTCTTCAGAAAGCCAACTTCTCCAATATAGAAATAGTTTGAAACCTTTGGAAATGTAAAGAAAAAGATTGAGGTTGGAACTTTTTTTATATTTTACTGCACTGAAAAAATTTAAAAATCAGTACTTTTTTTCTTCCTTTTTGCCTCTTTCTGCACGTTTCTTTCTTTAGCTTTCTCAGTTTTTTTTTATTTGTATTTTACCCTACAGTTAACTTTAATAAGAACATTTAAAAAGTAAAGAAACAAATATTTAACAGGAATAATAAGCCCTTTCTTTCCTTAGGTGGTTGAGGCCCACGTGCCTAATTTCATTTTTGATGAATTTCGGACAGTTCTGTGAAATATCAACTGCTGGTTCTGAATGGAAACAAGAAACAAACCTCAATAGGTGATAAGGCGGGAAAAAAAGTATCTAAAAATGTATGAGTTTGCATAATCACTGAAAATTAATGTTATTATAAAAATAACTGGAATCATGGTATCAAAGCCAATGGATTATTAAATTTAAGCAGTGTGTATTTTGTACTTAACCTATGGCGTACACAATTCCTTTACAAAAATCATTTCTGTTCCTAGAGAGCAGCATGTAAATATGGAACTATATTTTTTGTAACACAACTAAAAAACAATAACAGTGAAATGAGTGGATTGTAAACGTTGACTTTTTTCATCAGTGCATTATTTACATAGTATCATTATTGATGTTAATCAGAATCAGAATAATGGAATTAGACGGACCTTGGATGTCTTCTAGTTCAACTCTCTGCTCAAGCAGGAGACCCTATACCCGTGATAGCGAACCTATGGCACGCGTGCCATAGGTGCCACTCAGAGCCCTCTCTGTGGGCATGCGCGCCATCGCCCCAGTCCTAGGCCTTCAGCTGGGTTTTATAAAACCTTTTTGCTTTAGGCCTCTGCCACCGTGTGCCCAAAAAAAAAAAAAGTTCAATCAATCAATTTCAACTTCTCGCAGGAAAAAAAAGATCTCGCAAAGTTGGAATTGATTGATTGATTGAACTTTTTAGTCCCACCCAGTCTGCCGTTACCACCGCAGCCACACCCACCCAATGGGCCAAGCCCACCAGGCACCCGACGATACATAAGTGGGTTTTGGGTTGCAGTTTGGGCAGTCTCTAAAAGCTTCGCCATCACTGCCCTATACCATTTTAGGCAAATGGTTGTCCAGTGTCTTCTTTAAAACGTAAAGTGGAGCTCCCACTACTTCTGAAGGCAAGCTGTTCCACTGATTAATTGTTCTGTCAGGAAATTTCTCCTTCGTTCTAGGTTGCTTCTCTCCTTGATTAGTTTCCATCCGCTTCTTCTGGTCCTGCCTTCAGGTGCTTTGGAAAATAGGTTGACCTCCACTTCTTTGGTGGCAGTACATTAGACATTGGAATATTGCTGTCATGTCATCCCTAGACCTTATTTTCATTAAATTAAATATACCCAATTCCTGCAACTGTTTTTTATATGTTTTAGCCTCCAGTCCCCTTTGTTGCTCTTCTCTGCATTCTTTCTACAATCTCAACATCTTTTTTATATCATGGAGACCAAAACTAAAAGCAACATTCTAAGTGTGGTCTTAACTAAGGCATTATAAAATAGTACAAATACTTTATCTGATCTTGATTCAGTCCCTCTGTTAATAACATATACAATGTTAATATACAATTGTATACAATATACAGTTAATGAAGCTTGCATGCTAAATATTTGATCCGGGGTTTGTTGACTTCCTGAATTATTTGATATTAGACTGTGATGCTATCTTTCTCCTGTTACCTGGTTAAATACCAGAAGTTACAGCAATCTTGTCATATACTTCTGCTAGTCTCAGCAAACTTACATTGACCCCTTAGCCAAATAAACCAGCGATGCTTGTAATGGACCATGCTATTCAAAGAATGTCTTAACAGTAAGGCTGGACCATAAGACAGCATTATATTTATTGCAACAGTTTTTTACTTGCTAATTCTCCTGTTTTATCTTACTTAGTTACTTAAATTTCTAATTTAGCTAATACATCATATTGCTGTTTGTTGTCTCTCTCGTCCGCAATTTGACGTAGCCCTTTCCATATAATTACAGAGCTTCAAAACTTGGACAACATTGAAAAGAAGCTCAAAATAACTCCTTCTCAATTCTGTTTAGCATAAGATGAGAAACTTGGATAGGCTTTCAAGATAGGCTAAGTCAGGAAACACACTGCAAGGATTCCAGTAATGCTACTTTAATTATTATATTAAGATATAATAACAAATTCTTGAAAGTCTGTCCAACTTTCTCTCTGTCCCTTCTTATATTATACAAAATCGAGGTAGGGTTAGAATTTCTGCCTCATATCCATTTCCGGACATCCAGTTTGCAACTAGCACAGAATCCAACCTTATAGAATGTGAGAATGTAAATTTAAGAGTTGACAAAAATGATCAGAAAAGCAAGAATTTATTATAAGTTCTGGGCTATAATAATAACAGCAAGAATATAGATGTTCAACTCCATCCCTCAAAAATCCTGTTAAAAGTTGCACACTTTAATGCAACAACAAAAACATATATTAAGAACTTGGATGACCACCATAGCGCTACTAGTTTGTTTTATTCGAATTGAATCATTTTTTTTGTTTGGGTGCTGCCTACTCCTGGCACCCATTTAAAAACAAAACAAGATTCTTAGTTCCCCCCCCCTCAAAAAAAAATGCTTTTGGACCTGTCAGAAGAGTGTTCCCCTTCTACAACTGAATGGAAAAGAAAATGGAGACAATCCCTAGAATATGTACCAGAACTTAAACAAAAACACAGCATATTCATGTAATATATGTTTACATGTTACTTGACAGAAAAGCTCAACACCAGAAAATATCAGTGAAGAAATATACATGTAAGAGCTGCAGATGCTTTTTTTAAAAAAAAATGATTGAGATGACCTCCTTAGTTTCATTTATTTTATCAATGTAACAAAGCAGTGCCACCACCTATACTGCCATTTTAGCTATCTCTGTTATAATAGCTGAAAAGGGTTGTTGCAAGTATTCTCTTTTAGAAACTTTATTTGTACAAGGCAACATAGATGTGTGTTTTTATATATGTGAACATAGACACATACCCTGTTTATCTCAGTAAATAGCTAAAATCTTTCTGTTCATGATGATGCTTGACTCTCCTCCTAGGAACCCAACGAATGGGGACAATGCCATACAGACATCACTACTCCTTCTGCACTAATTCCTCCTCTGCAATCCTCCTTGCCTTAATGAGATGTTGAGATTCCAAGTTCCATCAGCCCCAGCCATCACTTATTTATGAAAGCTCTAGTACAGCATCTTGAGGACCATAAGTTCCCTAGTTCTAACCTTTCAAAATAAGGCAGTTCTAATGAAGCCGGCAGTATGAAGGCACCTACAATTCCTCGCAGTCGTTACATAAAGCTCAGTATTGGCTTAGTTCTTCCTGAGGTGGCATGCCCTGGGCTGTATCATTTCAGGCTACAATGGAAGCTCAACAAGCATTCCTCTATAAATAAAATAAAATCCTACATATTTTTTTTTAAAAAAAGCAAGGCTAGGGAGAATACGTTGTCCGGTTTCTCTCTACAAAGTGTATTTGGTTTGGAAGGTCATTGAAATAAGCTGGGTTTTACCTGTGAACTAAACCAGTACGATGTAGCCCACGCTTGGTTTACTGTGCCAACCTAAGCAACACCATCCATTTTAGATTTGTCGCCTCCTGGCAGGATAACTTTGATTGCAGTTGTTGTTGAGTCCCTATTAGGGGGATGAACAAACTCCTGTTTCTTCCCCCCCCCCCCAAAAAAAAGTAGGAGGAAATAGAAGAACAGCTGGTCAGGGAGGGAGGAAATAAAGCAAATTCTGTAGGACTGGGAAAAAAATGTGCGCAGTCTGGAAGGTCTCTAAGCTGTGGACATACACTCATAGTTCAGACCAGTGGCTCTGGGAATGTCATTAATTTCTTCTGTAAGTCCTGGCTGCAAAAATCAGGGGGGCAAGGAAAGGCAATCTGCCAATGACCCCTCCCCTAATATGCTAGACACTTGCTCTCAGAAGTAACTGTTGTGACCTCCCTTCTCTCTCCCTTGGATTAGAGTGTTTTGTTTTGTTTTCAACATACCCTTGTTTGACAAGATTATCTATGTGCTTATAAACCTCAAAGCGCCACCGCAGGATCTCAGGCCAACAGCTTTGTTGCTGCTGTTGTCTTTTCGACTTAATAAGAGACCAGGCACATCAGGAAGACGCAAAGAAATCCAAGCGGTTCCGCTTCCCGTCTCTTTGCCCCTCTGTATTCAGTAGATGAGGTATTTCATTTCAGAATATACAAGTGGGAATATGACAGAGCAAGCTCGGTACATCACTGCGAGGCTGCTGAAAATGGCCCGAGGTTTGGTGATCCACGATTCGGATTTGAAACAAAAGTAAATGGCGTAGAGGGCAACGGCAAAGAAGTGGCCGATCAGGACAATGGGCTTTGGAGACAAACTGTAAAGAAAGATTTGGTAGAAATAAACCACAAGGAATATATATTTTGTGAGCAAAATACTAGAAACTATGAAAAGACCATCCGCTGATAATAGAATAAATATTCTGTTTAACTAAATATTAATTAAATACAAGATTTAAATTACTAAACATATTTAGCCGACTAATAGCACTTTTTTTCTCCCTTTAAACTTTTCCACAGAAAGCTGAGAATCCATGTAACAATAAGTCAGTTTTCTCTGCTTTTCCATATAAACTTTCTTTAAAATACAGGATAATTCAATAGAGGAGTTGTATAACGAGTTACTGGTTTCTGACTGTTCGATAAGCTCATTTTGGTCATTTCCATTCTTCAATTTTCTGAAATCCTACTTTTTTCTGCTCAGGTCTTCTTTCTCGCTTTACTATTTTCTTTTATAGAACAGAATATAAAATAGAATAGTCTTTATTGGCCAAATGTGATTGGACACACAAGAAATTTGTCTCCGGTGCGTAAGTTCTCTGTGTACATACGAACAACAAAGTGGTAAATCATAAATCGTAAGATAAAATCATAAATAATAAAACACAAACAAGAAAATTAGCAATAGCACTGAGACTTACATACCACTTCACAGTGCTTTACAGCCCTCTCTAAGCGGTTTACAGAGCCAGCATATGGCCCCCAACAATCTGGGTCCTCATTTTACCGACCTCAGATGGATGGAGACTCAAATTGCCAAACTGCTGGCAGACGGCAGTCAGGAGAAGTAGCCTGCAGTGTTGCATTCTAACCACTGCGCCACCAGGGCTCTATTATGGGACACCCGTAGGAGAAGGTATTAGGAAAGATGAGAAGGATTCCATGCTTGTTAAAATTGTAAGCAAGCAAGCCAAGTTGCTAACTCTCAATTTTCAAGAGCTGCAGGGTCATATAGGTGCTTCAAGAGACCACACTCAATTGTTAGTATTTTATATGTGGAAGATCTTAGATTTAATTGCTGCTATTGTAAAAGGCTGAAGTAGTCAACGATTGGAAAGACCTCATTCAACCTCCATACAAGTAGTTTTCGACCTAGTCATTTGTTTAATGACAGTTCGAAGTTACGGTGGTGTCGGAAAAGTTACCTTATGACCAGTTCTCACACTTAAACTAGCAGTGACCCTGCAGTCACGCGACCGAAAATCCAGGCATTCGGCCTGTGCTTAGGGGTGGTTGCAGTGTCCCAGGGTCACATGAGATTCTCATTTGTGACCTCGCCAGGGAGCTTCCAACAAGCAAAATCAATGGGAGGAGCTGGGTTCGCTTAACGACCACAGTAAAAACGGTCATAAAATCAGACATGACTCATTTAACAAATGCATCACTTCACAACAGAAGTTGCAGTCCCAATTCTGGTCATAAGTTGAAAACTGTTTGTATTCTGACATGGCCAAAAACAGCTATTTACCCTCTTAATAATGATTAAATAAAATATGGTATATGACATGGATTGTTTACCCTAATTCCCTAGCCAGAAAATTCATTGTTATCATTTCCCTCCATGTGTCTCTCTCTAAAGCAGTGATTCTCAACCTTTCTAATGCCGTGACCCCATAATACAGTTCCCCATGTTGTGGTGACCCCCAAGTGGGTGTGGCCACCAATAAGAGGGAGTAGGACAGCTAGGGAAAAGGGAAAAAAATGGCGGACAGCATGGTTTGGCGACCCCCGTGAAATGGTCATTCGACCCCAAATGGGGTCCCGACCCACAGGTTGAGAACCACTGCTCTAAAGGCTCCGAAGGCAAGTCATGGACTATGCTAACTACAATTGCTGCCAATAACACGTTGAACCACCATTGAGGGGGAAAAAAAAAAAACTACCCCAACTTACATGGAAAGTAATCCAACTGGACCAGACACACACTTGCCCCCAAGCTTGAAATAAAGAAAGCAGGCTCTCCTTAACTTGTGCAGAGAATCTGTCAAACAAACAAATGTAACATGATATCACCTTAGCAGAAAAGCCAGGCCAAATCAGAAAATGAAAAGTTGCAGCATGACAGCACATACTTGCCTCGAACATTCCCTTTAAAATCTTGCACTCCCCCCCCCCACTCAAATAGGGGAACAAAATCTTTACCAGATGGAATTGACATCACGACAACAGCAACTTTGGGGGAGACGTTGCAGTGTGCAGTCATTAACAGACGAAGGAGAATATTCGTAGCTCAGGGTTGAACTGTGGGGTCCTTGGTGCTCTCCGAGCTTGCTTGTTTTCTTGCAGACATTTCATTACCCTAACTAGGTAACATCATCAGTGCTACCGTGTTTCCCCGAAAATAAGCCCGGGTCTTATATTTATTTTTGATTCAAAAGACCCACTAGGGCAGTGTTTCTCAACTTTGACAATTTTAAGGTATGTGGACTTCAACTCCCAGAAATCCACAGCCAGCAATGCTGGCTGTGGAATTCTGGGAGTTGAAGTCCACATGCCTTAAAATTGTCAAGGTTGAGAAACACTGCACTAGGGCTTATTTTCAGGGAATGTCTTATTTTTTCAGCACAAGGCCCAGCCCGGCCAGCAGGGGCTCCCCCCCTCCAGATGACTCAGGTTTCCCTCAGTGGGGGAGGAAGGCTTTGGAAACTGCTTTTTCATTTACATCCATCATCAATATTGTAATCTGTCTCTTTCTTTTTCAGAACAATGATTTGTATTTACCAAGATTAGCCTCCTTGAATGCCAATGGGTAGGCACGGTGTGAATTCTGCGCATGAGCCACGGAAATACAGACACTCGCACCCTCAAAGCTCACGCTTCCTTGCTTGGGGCGCACCGCTGCTTTGCAGGCGCGTTCAACTTTGCGGCTCAGCTAAACTCTTCAGCTGAGGAGGGCCGCAGTCCCCATCAGCTTCGGGAAGCCTGGGCAATGGAAACCTGAGGCCAGGCTCCTCGCAGCTGAAGCAATCCGGCTGGCCCAGGGTCAGCTTGACCATCGCGGGAAGCTTGGCCCATCCTTGTCCCCCAGCTCTGCCACATATGCGGGACGAGGCTCCCGCGATGGCCAATCTGACCCTGGGCAAGCCGGATTGCTTACAGGGAGAGGCTGCGCGTTGCAGGAGGACAACTACAAAGGGCGTGGGTGGATCCCTGCAGTTCCTGGAGGCTCCGAGCGCTGTTTTTGGCGCCTCTGAGAGGCAGACACACATACAGATTTTCATCGGCGCTTTGGTGCTTGGTCGGCCGCCTCGCATCAGCTCACCGTGGAGAGGATGGCTGAGGTTTGGGGAATGGTCTATCCCCATTTGTAGCGTGGCTGCTGTCCAATCACCGTGCTGCCTCTCAGGAGGGCAGCGTCAGCCGCCAATGCAGTGGCGGGGAAAGCAGAAGGCAATCCTGCCCACCAGATGGCGGGGATGGGGTGGGAAACCGAGCGGTGCCAGAACCCGCGCTCAGAGCCTTCAGGAGCTGCAGGGATCAGCCCATACCCTTTGCAGTCATCCTCCATGTTCTGAGCCCCAGGCCTAGAGGCCCAGCATTCTGTGGCCAGAAATGGGGCAGGATAAGTAATCAACCAGAAAATAAGATTCATCAAATGTATATATATGCAGGTAGTCCTTGATTTACAGCAGTTCATTTACTGACTGTTCAAAGTTACAACCGCACTGAAAAAAAGTAACTTACGACCGTTTTTCACCGTTACAACTTTGGCAGCATCCCCCATGGTCACGTGATAAAAATTCGGCATGCTTGGCAACTGGCTCACATTTATGACAGTTGCAGTGACCCAAAGTCATGTGATCCCTTTTGTGACCTTCTGACAAGCGAAGTCAATCAGGAAATCAGATTCACTTAACAACTGTTATAAATATGATTTGCTTAACAACTGTGGCAAAAAATGTCATAAAATGGGGCAAAATTCACTTAACAAATGTCTCAGCAACATAAACGTTTGGGCTAGGTTGGTCGTACATCGAGGACTACCTTTGTGTGTGCGTGTGTGTGTGTGTGTGTGTGTGTGTATGTTAACTAGCAAAAAATGCACAAATACCAGGAAATTATAAAACTATAAAAAGTTTTAATAAGTTAAAATACCAAGTTTTCGCTGGCGCCTGGTATTTTAACTTATTAAAACTTTTTATAGTTTTATAATTTCCTGGTATTCGTGCATTTTTTGCTAATTAACATGAGTTTACCCAGGAATCACCTTTTTGTTTTTAGCATTCTTAAGAATACACACACACACGCACACATATACACAGACAGACAGAGACATATATACAAACATAGAGAGTGAGATTTCTTACAACATAAAAATGAGTAGGTGTACAGGAAGTGAATAATTATTTGATTAATTGTAAAGAGGACTGGGTAGGAGGCAGGAGCCTGGGAGAAAAATGCCAATATTATGCATCAGATGGGAATTAAACAGGATCAACCTGATCTGCAAGAAGTCAGTTAATCTAAACCATTGAGTCCAATATTTCTCAACCTTGGCAACTTGAAAAGAATCAAGAACGAAGGAGACAACGGGAAGAGAAGCAAGGACAAAGCAGAAATCATTACACTAAAGAGGAGAAGAACCAGACTGGAAAGAAAGCGCATTTCCGAACAAGCACATACCATCTGTTGCAGCGAATAATTCATAAAGCGCCTGAGCAAGAACATTCACAACAAAGGAATGAGACTTCTTTCTTGTCCAGTAGAAGGTCTTTTTGGCCTGCAAAAAATAAATTTCCAACAGATTGCTCCACTTGATATTAAATCAGATGAAAATAAAAGATTTCAAATATAAAATAGCATGCATACTTGAAATTGTATAAAAGAAACTTAGGGACCATCAATTCTTTCTGAAAGAAAAATATATGTATCTTACTTGCAGTAGAGCAGAGTCTTCGTACAGGTCCGGAATGGTCTGTAGCAAACATCTCCAGATCTTGATATCGTTCAGAGCAACGCTCATTCCTCCGCCTGTCAGAGGATGCCTCATATTGTAAGCATCTCCTAGGAGGATGACTCCTAAAAGGGAAAGAGTCTTAACATCAAAACTGCACAGATGAACTTTTGGGGATGCGATTTAAATGTTCAAAAGGCTTGTTTAAAGCCTTCCAGGCAAATCGTTAGTGACTGGCAGATAAAACTACAAGCAAGCCTCAATTTTATCCTCAGTGGGGAGAAGGGGGTGTCTCCTACCCCCAAATGTCAAACTGCAATGTCATTCATGACCAAGTACATCGTTGCTTAGCATTGTCAAATACTACAAATTATTCATGGTAATTTGCATCAAACTCATGAAATGGCTGTGAATCTGAAGGGGAGCAGCGTGATGGCTCAGTGATTAAGACGTTGGGCTTGTTGGCTGGAAAGCTGGCAGTCCAAGTTCAAGACCCGAGCTCCACGCGACGGAATGAGCTCCCATTCTAGCCCCAGCTCCTGCCTACCTAGCAGTTTGAAAGCAGGTGAATGTGAGTAGATAAATAGGTACCACTTCAGTGGGAAGGTAACATTGCTCCGTGATGTCTTGCTGGCCACAACACCACAAAAATATCTTCAGACAGTGTTGTCTCAATGGCCTTGAAACGGAGATGAGGCCTCCCCCCCATAGTCGGCAACAACTAATGGACTACTAATACACAGGGACTCCTTTGCCTTTACCATATGTGTAAAGCATCTTTAATCAACAAAAGCCAACTTATAGCTTACTAATAAATATATTCCGACATTTATTGTGGTCCATACAGAGAGGATGCCAACTTAATTCCAAACAGAATCGCTCTAAAGGCTAAAGGTTATTAGTAATGGCCAAAAAAGTTGATTGAGGTGCAAAGAAATATGCCAATAATTCTGTAGGCTCCAGTTTCAGACCTTGTGATTTAAATATACGTAATCACCTTTTTTTAGAAATCTTTAAAAAGAGCCCCTTGGCTGAAAGGGCGCCAGAAAGAAGCATTCTGTTCTGCCAGAGGAAAAACAAATCTCCTCAATGCTCTCAAGATTTTCATTAGACCGGGGGTGTCCAACTTTGGCAACTTTAGGATCTATGGGCTTCAACGTCCAGAATTCCCAGCATGGCTGGCTGGGGAATTCTGGGAGTTGAAGTCCACAAGACTTAAAAGTTGCCAAGGTTGGATGCCCCTGCATTAGACTGTGAAGTTTTCTGCATTCTCTGCTTTGCTTACAGACCTCCTTTATTAACAGGACAAGGCGGTAGAAAGCTTGCTGGCATGACTCTCAGACGTTCATTCTGTACTGCTATTAGGAAAGGCTCTTGAATGTGTTCTGTTAAAAAAACAAACAGGCAAATGTGGTCAGTGAGTTTCAAAATATTTCTCCTTGGGCCAAGATTCAATAGAAAATACACTTAACAGAATGAAGCTCTCTGATTACCTGATAACCCAAGGTCAACTTTCATGCTTCAGCTAAAACAGAACATTTCTCAACCTTGACAGTTTTAGGACATGCACAAATCTTAAACTTTCCCGTTTAAGGTAGTCAAGGTTGCTTTAAGACAACTGCCTAAATTACAATCCAAGTCACTGACATACAAATACTCCTCAACATATGACCATTCATTTAGCAAACATTCAGTTACGATGGCAATGAAAAAGTGACTTACAAGTGACTGTCACACTTATGACTGCTGCTGTGATCACCACGGCAACCTTCCCAGGGGATTTCCAACATGCAAAATCAATGGAGTCACTTGACAACTACGTAATTTACTTAATGACTACAGAGATTTTCTTTAACAACCAGAGCAAAAAAGGTTGTAATATCAGATGCAACTCACTCAACTGCTCCGAGAAACAATGGAAGTTCCTGGCCCCATTGGGATGATAAAGACTACCTGTAAAAATATTTAAGACCCCGTGCATAGATTCTTACCTGGTAGCTGTGGATAAATCTTTTCAACCATGTATTCCTTAAGATTTTTTGGCATTTCACCCACAATGTCAACAAGAACTCGAGTTTCAGTGGAAGAAATCTGGTAGATAAGCACTGGGCTAGGATTTCCCAAAACAAGCTCAGCGTAATTGGCTTTAAACTGAGGAGAATTCTTTATAGATAAAGAAAGAAAAAAACATTATTAAAAAAGAATTCCCAGCACCCTCCTGCTCTATACCTTGACTGCAATGAGGAATTTTCAGCTGACAAATAACCCAAGGCTCATAGACTTTCAACAAGGCTGAACATTCAAATCCGACAGGCTCTACCACAACCATCATCAGACTGAAGTCATGTCACTGAGCTGTATGTTTTCTCCCCATCGTCACTGGTTTCCTTCCAACTCATGCCTGAAGATGGCTCTTTGCAAGCCAGCTTGGGCAACTCTGGGATTGAACAGCAGGATTAAACTGCTTTAAAGAAAATGCATAAGCGAAGGGGCAACAACAGTAACTTATGATGCTATTAGAAATTATTTGTGTGGTTGGGTGGAGATAAGAACACCTGAAATGCTATTCTTTGGTAATCATCGCAAGCATCCAAATTTGATAATACTATGCTTCATGCTTCACGGAACCACTTACCTTCAAAATGCATCCTACAAAATGAGAAGAGACTTTAACTTTGCTGGAGATAAGATTTTTTCGAAACTTGGAAAACAGACCATCAGCAACCACTGTTAAGGGTGCATGGAGTTCCTGCGAAACAAAATAAATGAACTAAATATAGGGACTAAATTATCAGTGTTGATTTAAAGTTTGACAATGTACTCCAAAACAAAATCAAAATCGGTAAGATGGCTGCAGAACCTTGTAATGCAACCCCACTCCTTTTCAATATGCAAATGAGAATGATCATCACAATGCACAACCTGTTACAGGTAGTCCTCAACTTTGACTAAACTTTGAACCCATAATTACATCGCAAGTCATGATAGGCGTCAAGTGGGTCAACATGTGACCATACCTGATTTTATGACTTTTTTTTGCAATGGCCATTAAATATATATCTGCAGTCGTTAACCAATTGTGGCAAACATTAAGCAAATCCATTTTCCGCAATGGTTGCTTTTTGCCAAAAAAACATCATAAATCATAGTTATTTGATTTCAGGATGCTGCAAACAGCCATAAATGTGGGCCAGTTGCTTAATGCCCAAAATGCAATCATGTGACTGCAAGGGGGGGGGCAAGGTCGTAAGTTGAAGACTGCTTGTACCTTATTGGTTTTAACAGGCCAACCTGAAATGCAAAGAAGTATGTGAGGCAGACATGAGCGAATAATTTTTGAATGTTTCATTCTAAACTGAATTCCTCTCACCTGTGATTTTCTCATAAATATTTATATTCCTCAATCTACGTCTTGCACACATCTTGACATCCACATTCAGTGCCTTAACAACAGTGATTCCATTGGAAATTATATACCCCATAGCCTAATTTAAAATATGGTTTAGGTTTCTATTATTTTACTAAGCCAATAATGGTAAACATTTTGGGCTCACCATGTCAAAAATTCAGAAAATGCTAAATCTGACTTTTTTGGCATGTCTCATACAAACGCACAAGCAAAACAGAACAATTATTTATCTTCTCCCCTTCTAGGCTGCTCTGAACAGCGGTATTCGGCAACAGTGCCAAGCCTGGGCCCGAAGTAGAGTCCGAGGCCTTGCCCAGCTCTAGTACCACGGCTGCATTTCAAAATGGATTGCACAAGGCTTATGTTCTTGAAGTGACTTCAGAGAATGCTCTTTTGCGGTCTTTGCAGTGTCCAAAAACTGCACAAAAGCCCATGCATGTGCAATTTTCACAGGGTCTGAAAACTCCTTGAGCACATAGGCCTCTCACAGGACTTCCGCGCAGTCCAGAAGCTGCACAATTCTCACATGGCCTCCTAAACATCATGCTCAAATTGGATGTGCTTTCAGAACTAATAATAATAATAGTAAAGTTGGAAGGGACCTTGGAGGTCATCTAATCCAACTCTCAACATTTTGGACAAATGGCTGTCCAGCCTCTTCTTAAAAACTTCCAGTGTTGGAGCAGTCACCACTTCTGGAGACAGGTTGTTCCACTGGTTAATTGTTCTAACTGTCAGGAAGTTTCTCCTTAGTTCTATGTTGCTTCTCTCCTTGATTAATTTCCACCTGTTATTGTTGTTATCGTTGGCTGCTGGTGCACGCCGGCATGTCACCCAAACCATTGTGGTGTGTCACCTTTGACATGCATGTCATAGGTTCACCATCACTGTAATAAGCTAACTGATTAAGAATTGCAACTTCTTTTAAACTGACATAGTATCCTAGAACACTGGAATAACCAGAATTGCTGGAAAATCTCACCTTTGTATCACCAGTTTCTTTATCTTTGTATACAATTCCAGCTACACATTCATCTTCTTCAAGCAATTGTATCACTGTCCCCTCAATAAATTTTGCACTGGAAAAAAAAACACATTAAAAGAATACATACACAGTATACATTTTATTGAGTTGTAACTAAAATGGGCCTCTCTGTTTAACTTGCAAGATTAGGAACAGGGAAATCTGTGAACCACAAAAATGCATTTATTCTCTCTCTGTAGCCCTCTTTTTCTACATATGTGATTTTCATTTTCATACAAAGTACTTTATAATTAATAAAACATGCAATTATATTCAATCTTAGACAAAACAGCTATTATAAGGAAAACAGGACTTCTGAAGGAAAAAAATAAAGGAAAAGGAAGAGGATGTTAAAATGGTCAACAGTGAAAGAAAATAGTTTAAGAAAAATCTGAGAACAGGGAATAACTATGTGCTGTCAGGTTGGTATGTTCTAGGAACCACCTAAATCAGAGAGGGGAAATTAATTTTCCCATGGGGCCAATGAGAAATTGGAACAGTTGTTGAGGGCTGCCTCCAGCCCGCCCCCATTGCTGCTGATGCCCCACCCCTCATGCTGCATCAATTCCTGCTCCCAATGCTGCCCTGGTGCTCCACCTCCACCACTGCTGCCCCTGCAAACCACACGGACTGCCCACAGGCCAGATGTGGCCTGAAGGCCATAAAACGCCCAGGTCTGATCTAAATAGACCTTCTTCAAGATGATGTGACCCCAGCCTGGACATTCAGGTCCTCCTATAGTGCACAAAACATACCATTCTTCTAGACCGTGTTTCTAAATTTTGGCAATTTTAAGATGTGTTGCCTTCAGTTCCCAGAATTCCCTATCCAGATGGCTGGGAAATTTAGGAATTGAAATCCATACCTCTTAAAATGGCCAACTTTGAGAAATACTGCCCTAGTCTGACAACCTAGGTCAACCTCTATCCTCTAAAGATTTTTCTATAAATCACTTTTTCTTTCCACCATATTTAACAAGGTTACCTTTCTAGATATTAGGACTGCTATTTGCAGGGAGAACTTTGATACAAAGTGTCTGGAACCGTTACATAACACCTGTAGAAATATGTTAAATCAAATCTTTCCCAGGAATGCACTGCAGCTGCCAGGGTAATCACATCTCCCTAGCCCGTTTCAATATCTTGCCCTCAGCACTACTTGAATGATTCAAGAGGCTCCCTTTAGTGAGCGATTATGCCCCTGTGATAGGGCTGAAGTTGAAACTGTGGAGCATGTCTTATTATATTGCCCTATGTATAATATAGCCAGAATTAAACTATTGGCTCTCCTTGGAATTGATCCTTCTGGTTCTAATGTTAGTAATTTGGTTTTATATTGTCTAGGGGATGGTTCCTCCTATATTACTTCTCAGGTTTCTAAATTTCTTTTAAGAGCTGTAACTATTAGAGGAGAACGTTGTAATTCCCTTTAGCCAAGGTTTCTGGTGTTAATTGTTTGTGATTATATTTTTCTTTCACTTGTATTTTGGTCTGTGACTGCAAAATAAAAATTATTATTATTAAAGCAGGGCAATCACATGAACCCAGGAAAAGACAGAGCTGCTTTAAGGTGCTTCTAACAGATGCAATGCACAAATCCAAGGGTACTCTGAATCCTATTTCTCTCTTCAAATCCAATCCATTTTCTGGATTGACAGCTTACTTACACGAAACAAGATATAAGGGTTTATTTTACTTTCAATTTAGAGAATTTATTCTTTGTTTTCAGGTTATCAGGTTAACAAATTAGGCCTCAACGGAAATAACCTGTTTTGTAACAGGGGTGACTCAAACAGCAAAACAAAGTTTATGAATTAACTTCCAGTTTAATTGTCAGAACATATAAACCCCAATCCAACTGATGTTTAAAGTGCTTGTTCTGGTTAACTCCAAACTATGTAGAGTTGATTCACAAGTGCAATGAATAAAAGAAAAACACATTTAAAATAGAAAAATAGATGGATGCATCTTCAGAAGGCAAACTGCGCACATGGCCTAGCCTACTTATACTGTGATTTTAAATTATTATGCTCACTTAGGTTCTGACATGGCTGCCCTTCGGAGACCCATGATGAAACGTCCATGATGAAATGCTTTTCCGTTCTGTACTTGCCCAGCTGCTGTGCAAGGGTAAGGAATCTCAACCTCTGCCTTGTTTTCAAGATTATGAATGATGTAGCCATTTATTATATGAGCATCTATACCTTCCACAGCATCTACAAAACAAATGAATAGAGAAAGGGGGAAGATTTAGGAGGAGGAACTAGCTATCTGCAGCGAGTGGTGGTATGGATAGTCCAGGGGCAGGCAACTGTGGCAACTTTACAAACTGTGGACTTCAACTCCCTAAATTGCTGAGCCCAGTAGGGCTGGCTCAGGAATTCTGGGAGTTGAAGTCCACAGATTATTAAATGGCCATAGTTGCCAAACCTAGGATATAAAAGCAGGATCCAATATACAGCAGCCTCTCAGCCAGTCTGAATGGAGACGAGGACTGAGTTTGAATCCAATTTGGATTTTGGTCTGAATGAAGTTCAAGGTCAGATGTTTTTTTTCACATAGGCCTTACCAGAGATTTTCTCTATTTTTTCCACTTCTAGTTAGAAAAAAGCATCGTTCTTTTAAAAGGGAAATAGGGAATTTCCAGGGAACTAGAAAAAGGAGTTACTGTCCCCAAGTTTGGATTTGCCATGTCCATAGCAGCTCTGACAAATAGCAGGAATTATCTCCAGGAACAACCCAGGGAAAAGAATAAGAAACTTTGTTTCAGTTTGTTGTGGTGGTGGTGGTGGTGATTGTTCTGATGCTAAGTCATGTCCGACTCTTTGCAGCCTCATGGAACATAGCACGCCAAGCCCCCTTGTCCTCCACTGTCTCTTGGAATCTTCCCAAACTCATGTTCATTGCATCCATGACACTCTCTAACCATCTCCTCCTCTGCTGTCCCCTTCTCCTTTTGCCTTCCCTCTTTCCCAACGTCAAGGTCTTTTCCAAGGAGTCATCTCTTCTCATGTGATGGCCAAAGTATTTGAGCTTCAGTCTCAGTCTCTGTCCTTCCAAAAGACAGTCAGGGTTGATTTCGTTTAGGATCAACTGCTTTGATCTCCTTGCAATTTCCTTCAGCCTTCAGCATTTAGGTTACTATATACTTAACAACTCGGTACATTTTAGCCAAATACTGTGCTTTATTTTAATTACTCTTCTCTGTATTTGTTTAAGTCCAATGTACATAAAAGTTCAGCAAATGTATATAATTTAGACTTTTATGCATATACAGATAGTCCTCAACTTACAACCATAATTGAGCCTGGAATTATAGTCATAACTGACGCTGGTCATCCGTAACCACGCTCAATTTTATTACCTTTTTTGTGGTCATTGTTAAGCAAATGAAGTGGTCATTCAGTGAACAACATGGCCATTAAGCAAACCTACTGTTTGCAATGGGAGGGTTTTTTTTTTTGCTGATAACGAGAAGTAAATGTCAGGTTTTGGTTAAAAATCAAGTCATAATTTGCAGTCACATGACTGCAGGACACTGCAAATGGTCATAAATGTGGATCATAACTTCAAATGGTCACTAAGCAACCAATTGTAAGTCGAGGATTACCTATACCTGGTTGAGTATGAGGGTACTTCCTTTGCTGATCCTTATTGTCCCTTTACTGCCTCTATTTCAAGTCATTGCACTTAACTTTCCTTCAGGGTAATAGGTGAAAAAGTCAAATTTGAGATTCTTCTTGGACAGTTTTGGAAAATTCCTCTAACTTACACTTGTACAGCTAAAGATCACTTAAATTGTGTCAGTGGTGCCCTGGGAATAAGACAATAAGACAATATCATTGGGAAACAGCATAGAAAAGATGTCAGGGAATGTTTATCTAAATATTTATAGGTAAGTGGTCCCAAATGAAGCAGGAAAAACATAAATAAAACTCTATTCCAGGGGTGGCGAACCTAGGGTACGTGCGCCAGAGGGGACACTTATAGCCCTCTCTGTGGGTACGCATGTCATCACCCAAGCCCCCCCTTCCCCCACGGCCCCCTCCTCACCAGCAACCTCCCCCCCCGGAAGACGACTCACCCCCAGGCGCGGCCCGTGCAGAGCACAGCAGCCAAGGACAAGGCAGCGGGGCCACAGGGACAAAATTCCACCCTTGCGTCCCATTGTATGCAGATGATGCTGCGGGATGTGGGCGGAGGGCGTGGCCGCCATGGCGATGCTGGGCCGCCTGGGCGATCTGCTGCAGCAGGCCGTGGAGGCAGTGGGTGGCCCCCCAGGCAGGTGGGGCAGGGGGGCAATGGGGGGCAGTTTTGGGGCACTCGGTCTCTAAAAGGTTCGCCATCACTGCTCTATTCAGGTTCAAAATCACACATTTTTCTTACCTGCATTAAGGGCAATATCCAACAAGCAATGTCAATGACAACCTCAACCGTGTTTCTTCTCTTCTAGCTAAAAAAAACTTTCCTCTGTCAAGCAGATTTCTCTATCTTGGTTTTTCATCTTATGATTTTTTTTTCTTTTTTCAATGTTAATTCTGAGCCATGAATTTAAGGCAAGCTAGGCTGTACAATTGTTTTTCGTTCACAGGACAAAGAACACAGAGAAGAAGTTTATTGGTATTATTTGTTTTCTGTCTTTCATAATACAGGTAGTCCTTGACTTACAACAGTTCATTTAGCTATTGGAAAAGTGACTTATGACCATTGCAACATTCCTGTGGTCATGTGATCAAAATTCATTGGCAACTTTCTCATATTTATGGCGGTTGCAGTGTGCCAGGGTCATGTAGTCAACTTTTGCAACCTTCTGACAAGCAAAATCAAGGGGAAAAGCCAAATTCACTTAATAACTATGTTACTAACTTAACAAGTGCAGGGATTCCGTTGTGGCAAGAATAGTGGTAAAATGGGGCAAAACTCACTTAATAAAGCAACAGAAATTTTGGGCTTAATTGTGGTCATAGGTTGAGGACTACCTGTAATTAGAAGGATACAAGGCAGAGATAGAAAAGCTGACAATCAGGCTGTCGAGCGAGTTTCAAAAACCTGCAGTTAAAGCATCATTCCCACATCTGTGAATGAAAGAAGTGTGTTTAGCAAAGGTAATGTACCTTGAAGGCCCAGATCTTTTAGAGTGTTATAACCTCCTGGCTGTAGGAGTTCTCCAACAATCCTATCAGGTTCCTTCAGATCTCGCTCAATGACCGTCACTCTCCTTCCATCCCGGGCCAGCACCGCTGCCAGAGCAGAGCCAAGGACACCAGCCCCCACAATGATCACTTCTGGACCAGATTGATCTGTGGCTGTTGAAGCTGAATCAGTTTCTGTTCTATTGTCAGGTGAAGGAATGACACCTCTTATATCCTAAGTCAGAAGGAAGACAAATCAAAGGCATACAATTTGCAGAATACAATTGCCATATTGCCATACAATATGCAGAAGATTTAATGACACTCAGTGGGAGCGCAGTGGCTCATATGGTTAGGACGCTGGGCTGGCGATCGGCAGGTTCGCATTTGAGACTTGGTTGCTGTCGTGGGACGGGGTGATATCATGCTCCAGTTCCTGCCAACTTAGCAGTTTGAAAATGAGTGACTGTGAGTAGATAGATGGATACCACTTTGCCAAACAACTTAATGATGACATGAAAGGAACCCCCAACTGGGCATCCCCCGGACAACCATTCAACCCTTTCACAATCCAGAAGTGCTTTGATGCTTCCAGCTGTAGTAGTATTCACACTCAGTTTAAAGCAATCTAAATTCTATGTCACACTTAGCAACTGTATTTGAGGGGTATTTTGGACATAACACGTTTGGATAACCACAGTACCTACCCTACAACCTAAGGACTTATGCACCTGCATCAGATAAAAAGAGGCAAGCAGGGTTCCCCAACCCCTGATCCATGGACCAGTACCGGGCCGTGGCATGCCAGCAACCAGTCCGCACAAACAAAACCCCATCCGCAAGATACAGGCAGCACACAAAACCACACCCCCTCCAGTCCATGTGAAAACCTCTCTCCATGGAACGGTCCCCCGTGCCCCAAGGGTTGGGGACCTCTGATCTAAATGCAGCATTTGTAGGACCACATCATTGCACATGTAAGGCCATTTTGGCATTTCGGTGCCAAGAAATGGGACGAAATATGAGATAACAAGAAGTCTCTGATTTTGAACAGAGGGTCAGGAATTAGATTTTTCAGAACACCGGTACAACAGCATAGTAAAATTCTTTGAAATTTCCCCTCTGTTTTCTGGTCTCTTCGTGTTTAGAATATCTGCCCTCAGATTAGTAGATTGTTTCAGATAATTCCAAATACTGTTTTGTCAGACATTTCTATTTCAAAGTCTAGGTAAACTGGTTACATCAGAGTTCTAACATATTACTGGGTATATCTTACAAATATTTCTTCCTATAAGTATTTCTCAAATAAATGCCGAGTTATATAAATAGACCTTGGGCTATTCCCATGCAAATAAGCAATGTTCGACCTAGTGAAGGAAAGAAATAAGCAATAGTAAGTCAAAGAAAGTAAAGGCTTAAGATAATAAAAGGAGCTACAGCTAAAACTGGTTCTTCATATTGCCATTCACTACGCCCCTACTTTTTATCTTGCAAACCACCTTTGCTTCCATCAAAGCCATAAGCGACATTGTCTGCCTCCTGTTTTTTTTTCTAAACTTCACTTCTCTAATGGATCTTCGTTTTGTTCTATTGTTTATAATTTGTGTATAGCTTGCAATGACTCACTCTGTTTTTGCTGTCAAGCACAACTATCTTCCATTAATTTTCAAATCTACGAGCTTTTTATGCATCACACACTCTATCTCAAATGGGCTGTAAATCATTCAGCTTCTCAGTAACAACATGGCACTATTTGCATAACAAAATTCATGTATCTTCATGTTTCCAGCCAGCAGTTTTCACATCATAAGGTTTTCTTAAACTTAACTGATAAATATATTAAATGCCCAAGGGACCAACATACACCCTTGTTTTTTTGCCTGCTCATGATCAAACAATTTGCTAAGTGTTTCCTTCATTTTCAAGCACACTTTACTTCCATCTTATTATAAACGCTCAGGGCTTTTTTTTCTCATAGAACGCCCAAAACGGAGTTCCGGCACCTTTTTGGGATGGAACCTTGCAGGGTAAGCAAGATGGGTTGTATGATGTGTGTGAGTTTTTTTTTTTTTTTTGAGAAAAAAAGCACTGTAAACACTTATCACACTCAGCAATTAAATTCTAGCCTCTTTGCTTTATCCTACATTTTCTAAATCAGTATTTCTTAAACATTTCACTCTCAGAACCTTCCCACTTTTAAAAATTATGGAACAGTTGCTGAACCAATGGTTGTAGGTCAAGGTCTACTTGTATAACTTTTTACTAAGATAGATAGAGCAAACTAGATTACCAGGTTTAAACCTACCAATGCACCATTCCCTGCTAATGGTAAGAGCACAGCACTGATTAATTTGACACATCTGGTTAATGTATCACATATGCAAGCAAAGTCATTTACTCCAAAATATTCACACTGTTCTATCTAGCCAATACCTCTAGCCCAAACATAACTTTGAAAGCGAACTTTTTTTTTTTTTTTTGCCCATTCACCAATTAGAGCTACATACAGTGTACTGGCACACTCAAAATGATATGCAGGTTCTGAGGTTTTGCTTGATAAAAAATACAGGAAACCAGAAGTTACCTTCAAGTGTTACATGTTTATTCAGCTGAACAAAGACAGGCTTCTCTAAAAAGAGAAAAGCCCCAAATACCAAAAAAGCCTTATTTTTATACCTACTTTGATTACATAAGCAATTCACCCAGCAAAGCTGACACACATAAGATAAAGACTTCGCCCTTTAAGGCTGGCACACTGTAGATAAGAAGGAAGAAAGCAGAAGTAGCTAATATGTTCTTTTGGGTGGTTTGGGTGTTTTCCCCAAGGTACCATATGTTCCCGGATGAGTTAGAATATTGGGTGTTTCCTTTGCTGTCCTTTCATGATCTGGCATTCATGGTTCTGCAAGCAGCCAGAGAGAGCGGGGCCATCTGCACATATTCACAATTGCTACTGTCCCCTAAGTCCGGGTCAACATAATCCCCCCTTTCATAAGAGCTGTTCACAGACGTATGACCATGAAACTGAAGAGACAGAGGATAAGCTTCTGCAGTATATTGTCCACATCGTTTAGGACAAGCACAGGTGATTAGGGGAAAGCAGTGAATGACACAACAGGAAACAAGAGCAAGGAATACTACAAAGAGAAAACCAATGAATAATTCCCTAAACCAACCCCATCCTGGGAGCCAACTGGTGAGAAATGAGAATATACCATTGAAGACCCTCCCCCCCATACAGTATCAGTAGAAATCTTCAGATCTTTAGGGTAATTCTTAATTTCTTCCTCCATGAGATGGATGGTGTGACTAATATTAACTTGATAATCAGTTATAAAAGTGCAGCAATGTGAGTGAACTAAAGCACACACCCCACCTTTTGCAGCCAGTACCATATCCAATGCTTGGTGATTCTGTACCCCCACCTCCAGTATCTCTCCCTGTTCCTTATTGAATTGTGTAAATGCCAGTATGGTGTGGTTAAACATTTCCTCTGTCCGGTCACCTAATTCTATAATAGAATTATAATTCAAACCAACTCCTATAGCTGGAATTAATGCTCGTGCAATGGCATTTCCCAGGCCATGAGGTACAGGATGGTGTTCAATATGTTCTTCATGCTCAAGGTGGCCCTCGTCCCGCCGATTGCGAATGCGGAAGTTCCAATCATTATGTTGGATAATACGACCAGAAGGAAAGATAAGTCCGGGTCAACAAAAATACAAGTGGCTGCAACAAGGACAACCAGTGGTAGAATAGATATATTGCATGTAAAAAAATACAAATTTTTCATAAATTCAAAAGCAATGAAAAATGGCTTCCTGCCATACTGTATTTAGTTTTCAGCACTTCCAATAAAAGTTATTTTGCTAGAGTTCACTAATTACACATTTATTGACTGAATTTACTTTAAAATGCGCTTGTTACAGATGGACTTACAAGGTGCTGAAACAGCAGGAACACAGGCTTTGTTGCTCTTAATGCAATAACTGCCAAATCCATATAATGAAAAGACAAGAACAGCCAGTTGAATATTCATCATGGTTGACAACTCTGACTAGTTATGCTCCCGTGTGCCTTTAAAGGGGTACAAGTTGGGACAACTTCTAGAGCAGTGGTTCTCAACCTGTGGGTCGGGACCCCCTTTGGGGGTCGAACGACCATTTCACGGGGGGTCGCCAAACAACGCAGCCCGCCATTTTTTTCCCCTTTTCCTTAGCTGTGCTACTCCCTTTTATTCTATTGGCTTTTGAAAGCCAATAGAATTAGACTCTCTTGAATAGAGTCTAATTCTATTGGCTTTCAAAAGCCAATAGGAATTGTCCAGGCTGTCTCTGCCCTGCTGAGCCCGCCAAAATTCCCATTCTGCAAACGGTGCTGCACCAGTTGAGTAGTCCTCGACTTACGACCGGTTGAGTAGTTCTCGACTTACGACCGGTTGGGGGTCACGGCATTAAAAAGGTTGAGAACCACTGTTCTAGAGTTCCCAGCAAAATATTTATTTTCTAGAATTGTCATCCTAGTTGATCTGGAGAAAATCACATTGGGAAAAGCTTGGCTAGGTTTAGATCCAAATACTGGCTGTGTTCACACACAGACATACATGGTTTATGTGATCATAATTTAATGAATTGATACAATGCGTGCTATTGAATGATAATTTAAAACACGCTAAGGCAGTGGCCCCCAACCTATTGGACACCAGGGACTGGTTCTGTGGGGAGAGGTCTTTCCGCTGACTAGAGCGGGTGTGGTTTCAAGGGTTGGGTGCCCTTGCACCAAAGTAAAAAGTGATTGCTTTGTGACAAATTCAACCAAGGGGATTTACTTGCAAATGAACTTAAATAGGTAAGCTAGTAATAGCTTTGTGTACATAACTGATATTTCAAAATAATGTACCTGTTACTTAGTAACTGTAGCCCTCATCCTAGCAAGTTGAAATAATTGCCTGGGATCTGAAATGTTAGAATTATATAACTGAGACATATTCTGCAAATTCAACATAAAGTTTCAAGTTTATAAGTTTTATATAAGTGAAGGACTTCCACTTTGCTGACGCGGCCACTGGAAGGTAAGCTTCGTCTTCCGCGTCCGATTTTGCATCGCTGGGGGACCCTGGAAAGGGTTGACAGTCACCCTGTAGGGGCAACAAGCAAGGAGGGGACTCCCGCTTGATTGCGGGAGGGCGGTAGCCCTTCCGCTCGATCCAGGGCAGCCCTTCAAACTGGCGGACGA